CTCTCCTAGCAAACAAGAGGAAAAAGGGATGCAGCCGCAGGGTGGGGTTGTTTGTTTGGTTGATGGGTGCCATTTAGCTGCAGAGCTAACGGGGTGCAGGCTGCAGCTGCAGCAGACACCTATAAAGAGCCTCTCACAAAGGAGCAGGACGCGCTGGAACACTGGGTCCGGGGAGCTTTTCTGGCCTCCTCTCCCAACAGTTCAGATTAGGATTTGAGCACAAATTGGTAAACTCACCTCCACGTAGGACGATGGTGCCCTAGCACGAGGCCAGAGAAACACGTCCAACCCCCTTAAAACGAGCTTTGCCATGTTTAAATGAATGCCGATTATCCTGAACTTGCTTTGAATGGTCTTCTCACTTATGTGGTCAGTTCAGCCAAGATCTTCTATTGGCCAGAACCGATCAGATTTAGTTTCAATACAGATATCATTTGTGCATTCTCTTTGATACATTTTTTGCCAATTTACTAACAATTTTGAAAGGATTTGCTTTTACAATTTAGCGTCTGCTTAATGATATAATTTATAGAGTAACTGTCATGTTAAAATATTTCCAGCTTTTTTGTTCCAGTATCTGAATTATACTGCCAGTGTTATTACTTATTTTTTTTAAACAATAAATTCTAATGTATTTAGAGAATGGCTACATTGGAACTTTCAACCTGTCAAAAGCTTATTAACAGCCTTCAGAATCACACCAATGCCACATTTTTGTTTGTTTCACTGCAGCCAGTATGAAGAAATTAAATAGTTATAGTTATCCCCCACAACGCCATTGAAACTTTAGATAAATTGTACAGGAAATGCTTACTCAAAACGCCGAAAAAGAAGAAAACAGGGTGACATTGAAAAAGGAAATATGAAGGAATTTTCTAATCATGGGGGAACGTCCTAGTTTTTGGGGAGTGACTTTTCCACCACAACTCTGATTAGTCTGGTTTGGATATTGATAAGGTGGGGGGTTGCTTCTGCCCACATATTCCTCATTACATCATCCCTAATCTCTGTACAGACCGCGTGCTCCAGCCCTGCAGGACTCTCCTTTCAGGTTTGACGCAGTGTCGTGCTGTATCCCTGCGCAGGGCTGACCTGTATTCCTCCGCCGCCCTATTCTTTCAACGGTCACGTTTACAGCCCAAGGCGATGTGCCACTGTCCCCCTCCAAAAGCCTTCAGCCCGTTTCTGCATTAGTATCATTTACAAGTAAACGAACGTTGTCTTTGACGACGATACATAACTAAATGTGAAAACAAAGCAAGCAAATAGAGGAGAAATAAGTGTATCTTTTACAATCGAGGGGTGTAAATGAAGACAGGAAAGAAACGAACAAAAAGGAGCACGCCTGTTGGATTTCATGCTGCATGCCAAACCATCCCCACAGTAAAGCGTGAGAGAGCTCTGGGCTGTAAATGCGGGCTTGATAAAAGCCAAATATCCTCCACATCAATCAGACAGTATTTGCTTACTCATAACTGCAATTTCTGACAGTTGATACTTCTAAACAACAATGCTGGCAGCTGTGATACACATATTTTAGACGATTTAACGCACGAACAATTGCTTTAGTTTCAGTTTGAAATAAAGAAAAAGACATCAAGTGTGAAAGTCGGTGAAAAAGTGCTGCTGACAGCTTGGAGAAATGTTCTAACTAAATATATGATGGCTGAAGCATAAGCATAGGGGAGGTGGGGCTTTGGATATTGTGCTGCCGTGCACATATACACCCACATACCGCTGCAGATGGCTTGTTTTTAATTAGGAGAAGCATCCTGGCTTTGGGATGCCCCGGCCCTCTCACAAGTTTATTTCCCAGTGTGTCTCATTTTCCGCGTGTCGGCCTACATTCAGAGGGGGGGGGGGAAGCACGCGATGAAGTGTGTGAAAAAGGATCAATCTGCGGCTGTAACCGGACTGCAGCTAATGACCAGACTGAAATAGAAAGCTGACCCCACTCACGCTCGGATATTTGTGAAGAGGCGCATGACACGGAGCTCCCCTGACTTGGAAACGGGGACGTTGAGATTCCTCTGACACTCCATAACGCAGTCCGACTAAGGGCCCATGTCGTTCTAGTCATTTTCGCCTGACACGCCTGTTTAGTGCGGCTTCCTTCTATATTTTCCTGCCGCCCTGTGCTTCATATATCCTGTCACACTCATCAAAGCACATTTGCCATCCAGTTACTGTGCGCGTAAACCGCGTGTAGCTTCTCCAACTGTCTGAAAGCACAAAAGGCAGAACACGTTTGTAAGCGTGTTTCCACCTCATAATTCCCCTTAGAGGGAAAGGTACCCAATGCTTTAAGAAAGGCAGTGAGAAGTGAGGCCGAAATAATCAATTCAACGTGTTTCTTGAGTTTTTTTTCTACTGTTATCCCCCTCCCCATCCCAGACTTTGAAGCCACTTTCGACTGACAGCATTTGGATACTTCAAACAGCTGGGACCCTTATGACTAAAATGACTTTTAACGTAATAGTCCGCATATTACAACCACATTGATGCCATAAAGACCACTTAAGGCTGCCATACTATGAAGTTTCCTTTTTTTTTGCTTCGTGAAAATCTATGAAGACTCCAAGCGAGCAAAGACTTACGTTAGATATTCTGACACTTACAATGAATTTGGTACTTTAAAAAAGAAAATTATGTTTTGTTTTTTTATGCCTTGCTTGATTCCCCGAAATAAAGCTTATGTGGCCTCGTGTACACAACTGCTTTGGCTTTATTTTTTTGAAATGTCGAGCAGGATGAGCAAACATTTACAGAATTTAAATTAGGCCGTTATTAAATTAAATGGGGTTGATTCATAATGGGTTTTCGAAACCCAGAATAATACAACCACACAAATAAACAGTTTTTTCTTTGTCCACTTAGAGTTGGCTGCCACGAGCCAGATGGAGTATAGATAAGAGAAATGCCTTTGATGGGGGGGAGGATACAATTTCTAAAAGTTGACTACAGTTGCCTTTTGTTTATTGTTTTCTCCTCTGGGATATTAGGAGTGGAGGCTGCTGCTGGCCGCAGAAAACCCTCTTTCCTAACGACCAAAATTGGTTGCTGCTTTGTGCAAATGCATCATACGCTGCCGAAATATGGGGGCGTGGGGGTTTTGTGGAGAGATTTCAAAATCGGTAGCTCTGTCGCAACAGCCAGTTTGAGTGTGCCTCTTTAGTAGACGCATTTAGCTTTTTAGATAGTCCAACACACGGAGGAGGCCGTGGAAAGGTTCAGGGGTGCTCTCCCTGTTCCTGCAGATAAGCTGCACCGACCTGCACCCACAGGACAACAGCGCCCTCTAGCGCCCGCAGAAATCTGCATCTTTCAGAGTTTCCTCTCAGTTTCAGCTCATTTGTATTGTGATAAAAAAAACAAAAAAGTTTACAAAATAAAAATAAAATGGCAATAGGAAAACATTTAGTGACATGTTTAAAGTATACGTAAAATTATATTGAATATGGTCCGAATTAACCCTAAATGAAAGCTCAATCACACACCAGGTCAGGTAACCCCCCCACCCCATCAGTGGGAAGTGAATTTGATGAAAAAACGTGACCATTAAGTTGGGGGTGATTTCCTCTGAAACCATCTATCGACCAGACACCCTGTGGAAAAAGTGTCTAAACTCTGTTTGTCAGCAATAGACGCAAACGCCAAAGCGGAGGAGGTTTTCAAAAGGGGTTGTAATTACTGACCGGGCCCATAAACTAATTTAGGCCAGACGTCTAGCCAGTTCTATAGCTTTATTGGACCACGGCTCTTCCTGCTTTAAAGTAATTGCCAGAGCAAGTTGGACAATAAATTGGAAATCCGTCCCAACACCTCTCCCTCTCATAAACACTTTAGTACTCGTTCATTCCACTTTTCTAAAATTCCATTTAAAAAAACGTCCATTAAACTAACCCCCCAAAATACACAAAATATACACAATATTATTTTGCCGTGGTTTCATTTTCCTTTGAAACAAACAACCTCGCTTTAATAAAAATCAGACACATATGTCAGAAACACACTGGTGTGTTTAATAATATGTTAATAAATGGAGAAAACTTCTTGATACATTCGTTGATATTTTTTTTATCATATAGAAACTAAGCTTTTCCCGCAACGTCCTCTCAGTTTGGTCTAGAACAGACGAAACGCTTTCCATTTAACTGTCGGTCACACCTGATGGTCAAATATTTCCAAACAGCTCGTGGAACTCGTTATTTTCTCGACTTACAGATCCCGTGATTGTGTGCTGTCAGGCAGGACAAAGAATTGTTCTTGCTGTTTAAAAAAAAAAAAGGAAAAAAAAAGGTTTTACTCCACATTCTTAAAGACTATAAAAGACAGACACGTTGACACGAGTCCTGCATGGACGTCCCAGTCTGCTGTTTGAGGAAAAAAAAAATAGGAAGAACAAAATGCATTTCTTGACAGTCACTGTCTGCATGTTAGCAGGACAAATTCCTCCATATGTGATACATATGTGATGGCGAACGGCGGGGACACGATCATAAGACATCTAAAAAAGTAAAATGACTATACTGAAGCGTCTACCAAAAATAGATGAGAGTTCAGATGGCTTCCTTACATCAGTGTGTGTAAAAACCCATTATAGCTGATCCTTGCTGCCTCGCTCCCTGTTCATCTTCTTCATTTTCATCCTCCTGTTCTGGAACCAGATCTTTACTTGTCTCTCCGTCAAACTGAGAATGCGAGCCACCTCATAGCGACGGTCTCTTGTCAAATACATGTTGTAGAGAAACTCTTTCTCCAGCTCTAAAGTCTGATATTTGGTGTAGGGACACCGCTTCTTTCTCGTGGAACGCGCGTGGATCCAGTTTGCAGCGGGGTTGTCTGAAATCAGAAGAAAAGAGGGAGAATTTATCATTACAATTCAAAACCTCAGTGACCGAGTCCGCAAAAGTGAGGTTCAGGGACCGGTGAAGGGTGAGGGCACCGGTGTGGTTGTGCGTAATCGGAGGAGAAATTAGTAATTGTTTCGTGTTTTTTTTTCAGACGATGCCCGTTTGGCTGCCTGACAACAGAGTAAAACAAATCAATCCTAAATCAAAAGCTTCTTCGTGTAGAATCTTATCGAAATGCAACCGTGTGCGTCTTCTTTGTGACATGAAAAACATTAGAATCCCCGCAATAACCTTTCGTAGGGCGGGTTTTTTTCTCCCCCTTTCGCAATCTCGGTATAGTTCGAGACACTTTTATAGGTTAGTAAAACCTCCAGTTTTACACACCCAGCTCATACAGTTCTCAAGGTTGTAAATCAGCACCGGCTATTCGGTTTACTTACTTGGGTCAAGTTGTTGTTGCTTCTCGTATTTGGGCTCGCTGTGGCTCGAAATCTCGCTTCCACTGTGCTCCTTGCTCGCCTTTTCTGGACACTCCGATCCTCCGCACGCGAATTCTCCGGCGATCGGCCGAGCCTCTGCCTCCGACGCGTCGCACTCCGCGGCTTTGGCCGGCTGGACCTCCGGCTGGACCTCCGGCTTCGCGTACGGCCGGCCGTTGGTCGGGTGGAATCCGGCGAAGGAAACGTGGCTCGAGATGGGCTCCATCCAGGAGCGGACGCCGACGTATCTGCCATCCGACGCGGGCAGATGCGGGGGCTGGTGGTGGTGGTGGTGGTGGTGGTGCACGTACGGGTGATAGAGCCCCTGAGGGTGAACCGAGGACCAGGACGACGAGAAAACGGCCGCCTTGGGGGCGAAGTTGCACGAGGAAAAGTCTGCGCTGTCGCCGGCACCTGACGGCCTCGGGGTCATGGTGTGTGGAGCCTGAATAAAGCGAGCCCCGTACACGTCCTCCGCCTCCTGGCCCATCACCGCGTCCACATAGCAGTTACTCAGACTGCCACTGGAAGACATTTTTTGATCTCTTCCCACTCATATAATACGGGATGCACTGTTAGGGGAAGCTTTCCTCTATGAACAATCATAGTATTTTTGCTGGCTGCATCTACAGGGATTGGTTACATGGATCACGTGGTCATATTTACCAATACAGCCAGTGAATCAATCCTGCGCTTGCTCTCCCATTTTTCGTCGGGTTTAATTCAGCTTTTCGTTATAGAAATAATAAAGAAAGGCACAATGTGACGTGAGTACAAACGTGAGGGTTTATAAAGATTTTTTCGCTTTTTTTTTTTTTTTGCTGCGAGCAACAAAACAGGATAATTGCATTTAAACAAAAGGAAACGAACTCTTCCTTACACACATTTTTAGCCCATCAGCGCGAAATCCATGTATCTTAATGCCTGATAAAACTGGTCTAATATTGTCCTGATACCCTCAATGCTAGTAAAATGGTTTATAGACTTACAGAGTCCTCGTAAAAGAGATGTAATAACATGTTGTAAAGTAGCAGACGCCATTTCCGTTCACAATGCGGTGCATGCATTGTTAATATTTGGCAAGGAAACATATTATGGGTTGGTTTAAATTTCTAAGTTGAGACGGAAACGGCAGTTGTGAAATTATTGTATTCATTCAAAGGAGAGCAATAATGTATCAATAAATGTTTTATGAGGTGAGTGCGTGATTATACACGCTGTCAATAAAGAATAAGACTGGTGAAGTCCATCTGCGCATTGCTATCTGAAACGTGTCATTTAAAAGTAATAAGCTATGCATTTAGCCATTTTTTTCCCTTTCTTTTTAGCTCGACAGGATTTTATTATTACTGTCATTATCTTTTTGTGGGGTTAAAATGGAGCTAAACAAGTCGAGATCACAACCAAGTAAAACCGTTTCATGGGAACCTGTTAAAAGTTTTGGACATTTGCAAGAGTGGGGTCTTCAGATAGGTGGCAAAAAACTACTCAGCTACCATGTTTGTTAAGTTTATTTTTAAATGTTTTTTTGACTGCATGTGGAGTTTTTTTCCTGCACGAAAGGGCTGCGACGCACGGAAGGAAGGAAGAGATGTTGGCCCCCTGTGAGTTTGTGCTTGGACATAAACCCCGTCTTATAGTCTTTATGGAGTATTACTTAAGTTATAAACAGGCCTGAGCATCAAAGCAACAAAATGTATTTTATTGGACGACGTCCCTCAGCTGAACATTCCCCGAGCACTGAAAGGGGACAATTAGCCGGGATTGACAGGGCAGGCAGACGGTTTTTCTGATTATATTTAGACATCTAGGTCAAGTTTATGGAAGTTAACCTTTCAGCGAAGCAGGCTTTTTATAACGTTTTCTTCTCAAGTGCTTCTGCGCGCACAGATTTTGATCCTCAGAGCTAACACCATACAGTTGGGTTCGTGCATCTTTCATATTTTCATATGGGTTTAAAGCGATTTGTGGCGGCCAGTATCTTCGAAATAATGTCACCATATAAGATTATTTTATTTTTTTGTTCAGCCGTCAGATGATGCTGACGGGACGTTTTGGGGATTACGCACAGCATACTCTCACCTATGAGAAATAATTTATATTTCGCTTCATTCTCCAGAGCATAAAGCAAAAAGGTGCCTGAATCACGACACATCCCCACGCAGAGCCCATCACTAAACACACACTTCCATACACAGCAACATACCAAACGGAAAAGAAACTTCTTTGACAATGAGTTTATTCCAAGATATACATGCCACGAACATGCAATAGATGCACAACTGAACATTGTTTTCCATCACTTAGAGGCCCACAGAAACATCTTACCGAGGAGAAAATGGCTTGCACGAACTGCAAAACAAATGTTGCACCAAACACAAGAACTGTGCTCATGACTGCTGCTATATAGTAACCCACTCCTCAGCTCGCCATCACCACATGAGAGGATGTCTTTCGGCGGGAGAAGAAATAGTTTGCCAATAATTTAAGACAAAGAAGTGTTACCCTGTGATAAAATGAAAAAGTACACGACGCCACATAGCTTAAAATGGGCATATGCATGTATTTGTGGGTTAGTGTATATATACATATATATACATGTATATATATATGAATATACACACTAACCCACACATGCATATATCTATATAACATATGTCTATTCACAGTTTCGTTGAAAGTTAAGATAAACGTCCAATGCCACTAAAGCATATAGAATAAAGACAGCTAACCACAGACACACGCGGGCTCACGAAAAGGTGAGATTTGAGGTCAGTTCTCGGATGCGGTTTTCCCTGTTCATTTTCTTCAGTTTCATCCTGCGGTTCTGAAACCAGATCTTGACCTGCCTGTCGGTCAGGTTGACGCTCCTGCTGATCTCTAGGCGGCGCTCCCGGGTCAGGTACATGTTGAACAGAAACTCCTTCTCCAACTCCAAGGTCTGGTGCTTTGTGTAGGGGCACCGCTTCTTCCGGCCACTTTTCGCTGTTAGCCAGTTGTTTGTTAGCGTGTCGCTCTTGCTGTCTGCAAACACGCAAAGCAGAGAAACACACAGCGCGTTAGCGGCGCGCGAGCCCCCCTCCGCCCCGCGCACGAGCCCGTGCGCTGCCTTTGGATTTCACCTCTGGGAAATAACACACAGTGCAAATGCTCTCATTGAATACAGAATGTAATTAAATAAATAAAAAAGCAGGGGGTGGTTATCAGCCACGCACAACGCGCTGTCAATAAAACTGAAATTAAACTCAATCTCAGATGATAAAACACACACACACTTAAGGAATATAGTATTTACAGGTAGAAAATTAAAGAACAAGTTATTAAACTTGAAGAAAACTCCCCAGCAGCTCGACGTACGACTTGTATTCTAATTGTTTGCACGTTTTCTAAAATGAATTTGAAATGCTGTGATTTGTGCAATTTGCCAGACATCTAAATTATACAGTATTTTTTTAAAGGAAACGGAGTGTAGCAGCAAATCTCTTCAAAATTTGATGGCAGTGGAAGGCTTTTAGCTCCCTGAGAGCCGTGCAGTGAAGATTCTTTAGGCAATTAGCATGTGCTTTAAATGCTGAATATCCAGTGGACGGGGGCTTCGCGCTGGAAGCATTCTGCTGCCCATTACTGCAACCTGAGAAAGACTATCATTAAACATTACGACTTTAGGGGTTGTTTGTGTTTTATACTTGGTTTTATGATGCTGGAGCCTTCTCAGCTCAGTGCCACAAGATAAAAGCTTTCATTGTTGCCAAACCCACCTTTCCCTTCCTTCTGCTGCAGCTCGGGGCTGGACACGGGGGCTTCCACCGGGCAGGTTTTCTCCACCGAGCTGGACTTTGGATCCGGGCTTTCTGCGAGGGCCGGTGTTCTGGTGGTTTCGGGGTTCTGTGGGACCTCCTGAATTTTCTTATCCTCCTCCACGAAATCAGACGAGGAGGGCTGCGGTTTCGGGGTGACCCGGCTGAGCTGCATGAGAGTCGGTTTGGGACTCGCGGGGTCATGGCAGTAGTTGTCCGGATGCTTCCCGTTGGCATAAGTTTGGCTCAGCCTGAAATAGCCCGGTACCGGGATCTCGGGACCATCGACAGGGCAAGGCTCAGCGATAACGTTAGAGTATGCGGGGACCTCTGGCGAGCTGACTTTCTGCACTCTCTTATCGGAGTACATGCAGCAGTTGCTCTCTTCCTTTATGCTCTGTGAAAATGTACAATTTGACATCTGAATGGGCGGCTCTATTCTGCAGGGTCTACTCGGATCAGTCCAATTGTCTATTTGAGGTATGTACGAGTGGACATTCATGGCCGTATTTTGGTGGTTGACCTCCCCTCTTTTGCCGAAAGACGGCAGGAGTCCACAGGTTTGCATTCCGTAGGTCCCCATGTCTGAGCCGGACGGCATGTACATGTTGCTGTTGGAGTAGAAGCTGTCCGTCCTGCAGGCACCAATTAAAGAGTCCACTAAAAAAGGGTTTGCCGCAGGAGAGCTACTGGGAAAGGACATTTTTGGGGTTAAGTTCTTAAGAGGAGAGAGATGTCCTTTGTAAGCTGACATATCTAGGAAAAACAATCTGTAAGTCAGGATGCCTCCCGACCACATGACAAACCCACCAATGAGATTTGAAAATGGCCTTGAGACGCAGCCTCCTCTCGCTGCACGCGCTCGCACTGCAGATGCAGTCGTGGTCAACAGCGACACCTACTACACGGACTTGAAATTGGTTTTGCACGACTTCCGAAAAGGCTGTTGACCGAGGCTCAAACACAGTCAAGGTACAATTAGGCAAAACTAGTTTGCTGCCACTTTGACGCCTCCGCCAAACGTTTTTAATAGAAGGGGAAAAAAAGGGAACTCATTTCTCTTTGAGGTAAACAGGGAAGAGGAAACAGCGTGTCTGTGTTCGAGTGTGTGTGCGTGCGTACGTGTGTGTATGTGCTCTGCAGTCTACATGGCGCATAGGCGACAACTGCAGAGTATTAGAAAGAATGTAACCAGCTCCACCTATTTAGGTGTTATTTTTATTCACATCGAGCCCCCAGATGACCCGAAAGCCTTTCGATGAAGGAGCTCCCACTAGCTGTGTTTTCACCAAGAAATCAACCTGTTTTAGTTCCAACTGAACCTGGCAATAATGATAATAAAAAAAGACTAAAACGCAAATGTACCTTTCTGTCTTTATTTTTATTTTATATGTGGGATTTTCTTTTTTCTTGCCTCTTCATGATTATTTTTTTGTCATTGAATATGGCTATAATTAAGCAGACCTGGGCCTTTCAGGTGAGACGAATTATATATTTCTTGCAAGTTTTAAAATAAGGTATGTTAAAACTGGGCTCACATTTATAGAGAAAATGGCTATGCTCCGTGCATGGATATCAACGTGTTGGTTTTACAAATGCCCTTCAGTGCACACAGATATAACTTTATTGTTATTTTTTTGCTTAAACTATTATCGAACTTGTTCGTCTCAGCCTTTAAAATAACCTTCTGGACGTGGCTGTGAGCAAATCTGAAGTGCCTCCATTGTTTCGAGTCTGCAAGGAAGAAGTGCGTGCACGATAAGCAGGGTGGCCTAAAACAGGAATTCTTTAAGATATCAACGATCGAAAGTCAGATGTTCGGCCACAAAAACTGCCACTCATTCCTTGGATTCCACAAACATAAAAACCCCATAAACGCACATCAATAATAAAGATAATTTCTTGTAAAACAACGCAACTAAACTTGTTAAAATATAACAGCGCCTGTGACATTTTATTGGATGTATAAACGTTTTTTTTTTTACATATTAACTTTAGCACCATATGCTGAAATTATACTAAAGTATGCAGTACTTCTAAAGAACATTTAAATAAGACAGCTGGAGATTTTAGTGATTTTATTTCTTTAATAGCCATGTTTTTGATAATGACAACTTCGCAGAGATTACATCATACTTTCCAATACACTTTAAACATAAACCCCTTAATATGGGCATATATTCGTCAGGTAAAATGAGAGATTTGTTCAAAATATACACAAGACTCATTGATGACTAAATAAAACGTCATACTAATATGAGGGGGGGGAGCTGATGTGAACGAATTATTATTGCTATCAGCGTAAGAATAATGATAATAATAACAATGATAATAATAATAATTTCAAACAAATACTACAAGCTTTAATCAAATTAACAGAATGTATGTAGAGTAAAGCTTTCAAATAGATCAACACAGATATTTTTGTTAAACCAAAAGCTTTAACATGTAAAATAACTTCGCCTTTTCGGAGTACCTTTACCTGCTCTGCTTCAAAGCAAACATCAACACACAGACATAAGCGCATGTATTTCTAAAAGTCACATGGACGCCGATCAGAATTGCTAAGAAAATCCCGTCTGAAGTGTACATGTCAACACTAAAAGTGGCATCTTATTCGGAGGCCATCCAGACAGAGGCGTCTGTTTTGTGGCCACTTATCACAGAAAAGCAGCAGAATTGAATTTCTATCAACCATATCTAACCCCAAAAAGAGACTTCCAAACGGGGCAATGTGGAGGACATGACTGGGGAATTTCATCCATTCAAGTTGAACCAAGGGAGGCAAATATTATGCTTCGAGATTAGATCTGTGCGTTTTTACGCACAGTTGCTATAAAAGAAGAATTATTTTTTAGAAATGCTGTTTGGATGTTTCTGTGAACTAAAATAAAGGGGGGAAGAAACAATCCTGCAGAATGCTGTCCGTTAAAGGAAACAATTCAAACAAAAAAAACAAACAATAACATAAACAATAAGAAAACACTAAAAGTAGAATCTTGCTCTCACTGCTCTCGATCTGGATCCTAAACTGGCCCAGCTCTACATTTGGACTGAGCTGAAGTTAAGAGTCTGCCCCCACGTGGACACACTGAGAACGGGAGCCAGCCTCCTCTCACAGTTGGGGACGCAGTTTCTCTGTGGGACAACACCACGGCCCGGCTCTACGTCTAATGAAAGCTCGCTGTTCCTGAAGCCCTTCGGGGGAAACAACGAGCGAATTGTATTTAACAGGAGTGACACAACAGTTCAAACAAACAGATCACCCTCCACACCGCGTGTTCCCAACAAAGTACCGTTTAAACGCTGCAGCAAAGCTAAAAGAACCAGCAGCTGCGTCATGTGACTCGATATTAAGGCGCACGAGTGAGCCATAAGCGCATTTATTTACGCAGGGACGACGTTGTCTGCAGAAGCACACAGATGGGAGAGCTGTGGCCTTGAGAGGATGTTGTTTTCTCTCTTTGCACAAACGGCTAGGTCAAGGCAGCATCGAGCTGCACGTGGAATTGTTTCACCTGCAGAAATTAGACGGAAACGCGGCGCTCTGCAAATGTTTAGAGCAGATTTTTAAGACGCACTGTCAAAGACATAATTTTTTTTCAGGGCTACAAAATGAAACAAACTTGGAAAATTACTTATCCTTCCAGATGGCGGTCCGTGAGAATACCTTCCTCTGTTTCCAGACAACGCTGGTAACATTACGAGGGCCTCAAGATGGCAGGGCGAGCTCAACATGGACGGAATGCTTAGAAATCTCTTGATTTGTTCAAGAGCTTCTTGCCTGGAGTTAAACTACTAAAAGACAGGAAGGGAAATCAGTCCTCATGTGGTCTTGGGGGCTGGGACACAAAGTCCAATAGCCCCCTATTTAGACATTTACAGCTACTTTTATTATGCTGTCTAGACGGTTCAAGGTTTAGTAAACAATCCATCGTTTCAAAGAAAAGGAAACGATGGGACCATACAAGCCTGCAAGCGCCAAATTTCTCCATGTATCAATCTCCAGAAAATCCCCCCTCATTGGTGCGTTCTGTCATTTTCGCAGAACCTCAAGTGACCGGTTTGGTGAATATGTCTTCCTCCGTATGGTTTATTTCACACCACAACGTACAGCTCACATGCGTCTTACAAATGTACACAATATCTAAGATAAAACGCAAATTTCACACAATTTATTTTAAAGCAGAGCCCGCAGTTTGCTACCTTTTTTGTTGAAGATTAAACAAACAAAAAAATATATATATAAGGCATGACTTGTTGCTAAATCCAAAGGTAGTGTGACGCAGAATTTAGAATTCTCACGTGGTTCTTGTCTTAAAAGCAAACTTAACAAGGAGTGTGCCAATTCCCATCTTAAGGTCTGTTTCTGAGACGGAGTTAAAGAAAATGAAAGACTCAGGTCATGCCAGAGATCAGAATAAAGGATTCCCGGTGAAATACTGTAGGCGGTCACGGTTAAGTTTTTTCTCTTTCATTCTTCTGTTCTGAAACCAAATCTTCACCTGGCGATCTGTCAGGTTTAACATCCTGGACAGCTGAAGCCGCTTCTCTTTGTTGATGTACACATTGAAGAAAAACTCTCGTTCAAGTTCTCGGATTTGGTATTTGGTGTAAGGACACCTCTTCTTCCTGGACTTGGTGGATGAACCTGTAGTGGGGGAATACAGAGTGAGAGATAAAAAAAACAAAGAAATTCACCGTAGAAAATGTCTAAAAGATCCCTTTCTAAATACCTTATGTGAATTAAGCCAAAATATCCATTTGTTTATTTTTATATGTGTTCCTTCCTTTTTGACACACACACACACACACACACACACATAGACACACGTACACACAAGCATACACAAAATAAACAAAAGAGTTAGGCCCACTGGCCATAAAACGACCTAATACTGTGTGCATATGTTGAAACCTGAAGAACTTCACGCTGCATAATTGTATTTTTCCCTTAAAAAAAAATCAACTCTATGGATTAATAAAATACATGAAATTCTCTGTCATATCCTGGTTAATTAAATATTTTTTTAAAACAGCCACAGTGCATTGTTACTGGAGCACAAGGAAACCTTTAAGCATGGTTGCTTAACCGTTTCCCATTGTAAATACCTTTACAACCGTAAAGTAAATCTTATTGGGATATAAAAGCTTTTGCATGCTTATAAAGGGGCATATAACCCCCTAACCGTCCCGGCAGTGGACACTGTGTAGCTCAGGCTCCCTGACGTCCAAAACGAAAAGCTTTTGACCAGAGCAAAGAAGGAAAACACCGACTTACTCTGCCGAGTGCCCTTGTCGCCGCAGTTGGATGAAGAGTCTTCGTCGAGGCTCCCGGTGGGCTCCCCGTTCTGTGGGTCTAGTTTGGTCTCAGTCTGCTCGTTACTGGCAGCATCACCGGGAGGAGCAGAGTCTGTCTTTTGTTTGGGGACCTCCGGGTTGGGCTTGTCGGAGTTAGGAGTGTCAAAAAACTGGTCGAAGCCCTGCGGAAGAACCCCGTTTCGGCCGACGCCGGTGAAGAAATTGCACGGCGAACTCGCTCCTCCGTGATGGCCGTACAAGGACTCGTTTTTAAAGATCACCTCCGCCCTGCTACTCGAGGACTGAATCAAGTCCCGATGCATTATCTCGTCCGTTGAGTAGTAAGACGCGTAATTGCCCCTGTAGTGCCATTTGGGATGGTCCAGTCCATAATCCCTGAAAGCGACTTCTCTAACAGGTTGAACTTGGGATATGTTGGGAGAATAAGGGAAATTTATCTGACACGAAGAAGTCTGTGGTAAAAAGGAGGAGACTGATGAAAAATCTGGCGAGGAAACGTAATAAGTGCAGCTCGGTAGAAACATATTTGACGCACAGCTGCGATCATCGTATTCCGTCATATCTCTCCTTTCCTTTTCCTCTTTGCAACAGAGGAACGGAATTGGCTCTTCTGTGTTAAACTTTGTCCATCTATAGCACCACGGGCGTGTGGAAAGACCCCGCCGGGGAGAAAAAATCGGAAACGTAGGCAGACCTGCAATACATCTTGATCGATTCTTGAGGTAATTGTGTCATGTGATCCAGCTAAGAAATTACCATACATCAATATCAGTCATTAAAAACTGTCCGGAGAAACTCATGTGAGCGCATACGAGAGACTCCATTGGCTCCTGGGCTGCAGCGGGAACTCCTCTCCAGCCTTCTTTGCCCTAAAGCTCAGGAAAAAAAAGAAATTTGTGAACCATCGCTGGAAATTTTAATTGAAAGCTTCACGGCTACCCAGCGACCTCGGCACGGAATGATTATGGCGGCCACACCCGCCCAATGCGTCAGTAAATATGGGCAGTGTGGAGAAGACGCGTGGTTTGTTTGCAGCAACAGTTAGGAAATATTAGGCGACCTGCGCATTTAACGCCGATCCTGAACGGAATGGCAGCAAGGTCACTGTGGCCGTGTGCCGCAACCTAAGAGCAGAGGTCTGCAGAATCATGCTGGATCCATCAAGTCGAGTCTATGTGAATAAATGATTACCTTCAGTGCATAATCACCGGGCATCTTTGAGGTTAATGCCCTGTTAGACACAGCAACAAACGCCAGGCTCTGGGAGCGTTTGGGTTCACTGGAAGACAGAAGCCTTCTTAGGCCTGGAGCATGGTGCAAAAACAAAATAGGCGCCACAATAGACAACAAAAGACATGAGTATAGTGCTATTGCATATTATTTTTGCTGTGTGGAGAGGAATGTGCGCATCTACTTTTACCTTTTGCACGAAATGGCGACACGTTCGTCCCTTAAGCGTTTTCCTTCACGCTCGTTGCAGTTGGATGCGTTTAATATTCTAATAATTTTCCAATCACGACCCCTACAACACGGAACAAGCCCGGAGAACATTCTATTAACCGATATTTAGATTTTGAATTCCACAAAATCCTTGATCATTTGCAAACGTGACCAACCAAGTTCTTTCAGCCTGGACAATTTCAAAACAACTGGCTTTGACATTCTGTGGTCTAGGTGATGTCCAGTAGGCATTCACACACACACACACGCACACACACACACACACACACAAAACGTCTGCAGCCAAATCATTTTATTGCGTGAGGGCAGTCATGCCTGCAGTGCTTGCTTCCTCCTCGGTGGGAAAAAAGAGAATTTAGGACACTGGAAAACGGATAGCTCATCACTCAGGCCTCGACCAGTATTTTTTATTTGGCTGTGAGTATGATTGTTTTACATTTTTATTTTACTCAAACGCGAAAAAGAGCAATTGTTTGTTTTTAAATACAACCTTTTGCTTATGTGTACGATTGCATCTAAAAACACAAGCTAGTTCATCAGGAAACAGTTAGAATTGTAATCAAGTTTTCTTCCATTTCTTTCAATTTACTCTTTAATTCTAGACAACAGATACTATGCTGTCTCCGACCCATTATCTTTGTTGTTGTGGAAGAATGAAATATAATTAGCTGAACTCAGTAGTTTCCACTCTGCATAGCTGCACGATGAAATCCACAGGTAACAAATGAACTGGGACATGATTTTCTTTAACTTACAAATATTACGTGGACAAGAGGGCATTTTCAAACACAAATTTTCAGTGCATCACAGGCAGAAGTGAAAGATTTAAAAACATCGTCTCCACCAATGCGTGGAAATTGTAGAAATCATTTTCAAGAAAGAAGACATACACCAACACATATGATGCGAGTTGTTCATTGTTTGTTATGTAGATTCTTTAAATTTAGTTTGCTTGTTTGTTTTTCCACCATTATTCATTCCCAGTGCTTTTACCGTGATCAGGGAACTGATTTTGCGCTTTCATAATTTGCCTTGACCAGAGCTTTTGACTCTGGCTTTATATTTGCAACAAACTGTTTCATTCAGTAAACGTCAACTAACTTTTTCCATATTTAATGCTGTGCGAACAAAAAGCGTTTATTAATCCAGACAAATGTCCAGGGCATGCTAATGAACCAGTTGTTCTTGACAATAATTTGTGACACTTTTAACTCCACCATAAAGCGTCTTCAACAGGCTTCTTTGCTTCAATCCAGGACAACACCGTTAGGGAATGCTATTTCTATACTTCCATAGAAAATCAGAACTAAGCACAATTGACCAGCTTGTGGGAGGTAGCGGCCTGCTAACTTGACCTTAACTTTGTTTTGGCACCCCCACTTGAGGAGCCTGAGCTGTACGAGTTCTTTGGATGTTGACCAAACTGAACAACGCACACAACAAAATATAACACGGAGAGAGTACAATGTAGGCAGAAAAGTAAAAATAAGCAGAAAGTAAAAACTCGAGATGTTGTGTTTATCCTTTGTTAAAAGGCATACAGTGTGGATGGATCATTATATATGAGGCCCACAACATTTGAGATTAGCTATACAGTAAAACAAATGGGCCATTGAAACTCTAGGAAGGCTGTGGCATTGTAAAGGACGAATAAACTCACACTTACTCTCGCTAATAAAATATTACATATGTATAAACATAGGTTCTAACGGTGCCTGATACAGAAGCTGTTCCCTCGTCTCTCTTTAGTAATTATAAGCTTTAACGTGTTCTTTGACATGCTCCTGATGAAATTTCAGCCCTTTAGAAACAGGAGCTGCCCTGTATGATTCGGTAGTGAGAAAGGTAATTAATACACCCACCCCTTCCTAACATCTCTCCGCACTGCTCCATCGATATTTGGCCATTTTTCTCATACCGCTCCAGGTCTCCAGTTTCTCCCGTAAACCACATTGACAGTCCATTTCCAAACAGAATGGGTGAAACATTTCTTGTAAATAGAAATGACCCAGTTGGATTTGCGCACACTACACACCAAAAGCACGTCGACTGTACACAGGGAAACAGTTTTAGGTACGTGTGCAGAGCACCGCAGAGATATTCAAGATGTGTATGACTTTTGAATTACACCAGACACGTTTGGTCACAGCCAGAGGAACTTCCAGCTGTGGAGGAGGGCAGCTGCTGAGTTACGCACAGCGAGAAGGAATTACGCAGATAGAAATTAGAGGGATAGCAAAGACATTGTTGTTTCATGTAAAAGTGAATGGGGAATTGTGGCCCTGGGAGATGTTATTAAAGTGTCTGCAAAAGGCAACAGTTACCCCTGCTGCACACTGGCGTGTTACAATGAGGAGTTTATTTTCAGTTAACCCTCGCTGCGAATGGATATTTGATATGTAAACCATCCGTATTTCTGTTAAAATCAGAACTAACTCATCTGAAATTTGTCCAAACGAGGTATGATATATTTTCTCCTCTTAATCCTTGTAATGTTTTACTGGCAAGGGACCGCTGGACAATCCAGAACCGTTAGGTGCAAAAGCTTTGCTGGGCATCTAGACAGATATAAACATTTCACATCGAACACAATAATTTGACTTCAAGTCGCTTTAAAGAGTTTATTTCACAATGCATTTATCCTTATATGCTATCCATCACAAAACCATGGATCAAACGATTGGTGGCCTTTTTTTGTTTGTTTTGTTAATAATAACGTGTTGTCTTAAATTATGTACTTGGATCCGAACTGATATATTATTTCAGTGATTTTAGTAAGTTCAGATTTACAGGTGACTGTGATGCAGCCATCTGTGGAACAACCGCAATATATGCTATCTGGCAACATGGACAGTCATTCAAAACAAACGCATATCATTTCTAACCGAAACCATTTCCTTTAAAGAAGCTCCAATATAAGTTTTCACATGGAGTGATTTTTTTTAAGTGTAACGTCTTTAACAACCAAAAGATCCGTCCAGCCTGTTCACAAAGAACAAAAACATTGCAAAAACGGCCTTTTCAATAACTTTTACAACAAAACTGGCGAAAGAGACATTTAATTTACTTAAAAAAAAAAAAAACACGTAGGAAGGGCATGCAAGCATAACATATTTTTGCACCAATGACTTTCGCCATGCGTAAACATGAACTTGACAGTTAAGGTTCCAGGCTACATGAGCGGCACCTTTGACAAATGATACAAAACCTCCTGATCCACATTCCACGTAAACGGGCTTTGCATTCAGGTTTAGAATGGACGAAAGTCAGGAGAGTCTTTTTTATCCGCCGCTTACAGCGCTTGGACAGATTCTTTGTTCGAAAATGAGCAGCACTGTAAATTATCCTGTGCTGGATAATCATTTATTTATTTATTTTATTTCTTTCTTTTTCAAATGTAATTGATTATTTTTTTTGTTTAAGTTTTTGTGACTGAACAACACTTTGACCCAGTTATGTTACCCAAGGTGAATAATCACGTCTAAGCCAAGACTCTCTTTTCATACAACCTCCTTTACCAAAGTGCTTTTGTTGCCTTAGCAGAACCACAGACGCGAGGGCAGATGAGACATCCGGTCTATGGTGTGACAACCACGCGCTTTGTGCTGGAGCCCTGGACCCCAGCCACCTTCCAGCGCATCCGATGCGCTTCATAAATGCTGCTTTCTTTACACCCAAACGCGGGCGGCCTTTTTGCTTGCAGCCCAATCGAGAAAAACATTTGAGTTCAGGCTGAGACATTTCTGAGGGGAGAGTTTGTATAGTTTCCCAGGCAGTTCTGGTGTCGGTGTGCTGCTCGTCAGGATCAAGTCCAAAGGTCATCAGTATGCGATGAAAGCTTGTTCGCGCATCATCAGCCGTTTTTTCTTCATCCTCCGGTTCTGAAACCATATTTTCACTTGCTGATCGCTCAGGTCGAGTCTGTCGGACAGTTCTTTGCGTTTTTGTCGGTTGATGAATTCATTCACCAGAAATTCATTCTCAAGTTCAGCCAGCTGAGGCTTCGAGTAAGGCTTCCTCTTTTTTCTTGTTTTCACCTGGGACGAGCACCACGGGGCACCTGGAGGGGGAGAGGGAACAAGTTGTAAAATTGTTACTTAGTTTTACCAGCAAAAAAGAACGTAAGGAGAATATATGATATGATCCTGTTTAAGTAGTGTGGATGTACTTAAAAAAGTGCAGTGATTCCCACTGTAGTGTTAGTGAGGAGAGTTTATTTGCCTGAAGGAATGTAGAATAAAGATATAGAGGATATTACAAAAATAAATAAGTTTACTGCAGTCACATGAACACTGAACACAAATTAGTTTGAATTTAATGTTTACTTGTAGCTAATGCAACAGTATAGGCTTACAGGCCCTGTGATGTAAGAGGAGATCATTGCCGTCATTCATAAATCCACAGCAGATTAAGTCCCAACATTACTCTCGTTTTTCACTTAAACAGCTGTAAACTGTGGAAATGAAATTGTACAACTGCAGAGAGTAAATAACAAGTCTTTTTTGGTGTGCTCTTTTTAAAGATTATACTTAACCCTGGCCAAAAGTGGTCCTGGAACACGCGTTAGTTGATGGTGTCACGGTGGGGTCGTGCTCCTGTTTGGTGCCGTTCACGTGCACAGGAGCGGCTGGATTCGGAGCGAGCAGTGCGGCAGAGCCACTGTTCACTTCAGAGTAACCGCGGATCCCGGCTTCAGATGAGTAGCTCTCATCTAGCCTGCCAGCCTCCACTGTCTTGTGGCTCGTGTTCTGAAAGCATCGAGCCGCGGACTCCTCCAAATGCGTCTTGACGTGGCCGCCGGAGGGGCCGGCGCCCACAGAAGTCGAGGAGTTGGACAGAAAGGACGGACAGTAGCCGCCGAACGCGCGGCCCTGCGTCGGTGCTGCTGATGGTCCAGATGCACACGAACTTGAGGAAGTCCACGGGAGGGTGCACACGTCTCTCCTGTTGTACGGCAGCTGATGAAGCCCGGGTATGTGGGCTCCATTGCCGCGCAAGTTGGAGAAATACAGCGACTCTGGGGGAGCAAAATTCAGCAGAGACCCAACATAGCCGGGATTTAAAGGATTCCGCTCACACATTTCCATGGAGCCTCTCTCAAGCGCTTCTTGCAAGCCTTTTAGCAACTCCTAAAGAATAAAGGGAAGGTAATTGTTGATTTGTTAATACAGCGTCACGTGATATGCAAAATATGTTGTCCGCCCCACCCTTGCTGCCAATACTGCAAAGCAAAAATACTCCATGAGGTAATATTTTGGTATTAGACGGCTGATGGCGAAACTAACACAACCAACTGTTTATATTCTGTAACCACATCACGACCAGACATATCTAATCAATGTCTCACGTGCTTTTGTAATTAGTTGCTACATAAAGGGGGAATTTGGTTTAAGTATGCTACCAATGCACCTATAACGTGGTCAAAGGGATTCTGTGGAATGACCAAAAGCTAAAAGTAGGACCTTGAATGTAACACGGGAGAGCCAGCGGGTCATTCCTTGCCTTATTAGAAATGTTATTAAACATTTTAATATGAAGTTGAAACAGGTTATTTTTTTCATGCAGGCACGTAATATACGCGTTTTATACGCACAAGGTGTCACCAACACGTCAAAAGCTACAATATGGCTACAAAAGGCCAGAACGTTGTCCCCATTTACAGCAATTTATGCATACAGAGCTTCGATTGAATGTGAAAAGTAGATGGAAAGCAACTTGTATAATTGCCTTTTGGGAATCTGCTTATTGTTTTTTAATAGTTTCCCTCAAAGAAAATCAAGATAAGTTGACCAAAACTATAAATATAAAGCCTGAATCAGTTTGCAAAAAGCTTCTTAATCTCTGCCAACTCAATTTAACCAGAATACTGACTGGCAACTGTTAGAACCGTTCTCTGAAGTGGAGACTTTGCACTTTGCACTGTACAAAGAAAGCACAAGTGATGGTTTATATATGGAAATGATTTTGTTGGGCAATCCCTGAACTGATGGTCCAAAAATGTCTCCAGATATTTCTTTTTTCTGGAATGATTTTAGATTTACCTGCAATTCCTTCAGAACTCTTGCTGTTTTTGTATTTCATAAATAATCTGATCACTGCACTTCTTAGTTATAATCTCAAACATAACCAATAACTACAAATAGAAAAGTTCAGCTCAAATTCTCACAGACATGCTCTTTCGCTCTTGGTCAAGCAGATTTGCATATTTTATCCAAGGATAAATGCCAAATACTATTTGGAATCACCCCGAGCAGTAAAAATACACGCAAAATTCTGAAATGTTTAGCCAAAAACGGTTAAAGGGACGACAGTGTTTTGTCCCTTTAAGCGACTTTTGTCAGAACGTTTACACACAACCTTCGTTCATCACATCAGTACCTTTTGAATATCCATTCAGTCGTCAACAGCACCATTTCCTTACAAATAATGGGGGGCAAATTGATTCCAACTCATATTCTTAGAGCTTCATCGCATTAGAAAATAAAATGTGGTCTATACAAGTCTAAGACAACGTGTAACTGTCTATTCTAAATTTCTTTAAATAAGTTACATATCCGTCCTAAACTGAGGAAAGAAAAATATCTAAACTAATATTTTACGTGATAGCAGTAAAAAAGAAATTTAAACAAGATTATCAAGACTTTTGCAGGTCAGCTGAACCCAAAAAGGGAATTCCTTTTGACGTCAAATTTGAATAGTTTTTTGTACTTATTTGTTCTGCTGTTACATATTTGAGCCTATGGGCTACGGAGAGGTTTATGCAAAGGTTATGTATTTTCAGTTTATGCCAAATGCTGATAAATATTTACGGAGACAGGACAGGAAAAAAGTCAGTCATTTAGAAAAGTGGCATTTTATGAAAAAAAATATACGGAATAAAATGTCATGTAGATACCAAATGGAGAAAAACTACTTACTACTAATGCCAACTATCATTCGACTTTCACAGTGAACGTATCTTATGTTATTTGTATGTTTTAAAAGGGCGTTTAAATCTTCGCCAAACCTGAGCTGGAAAGCTGCAGCCTCTTTTTACAAAAGCACCCACAGTCCCACAAATACAAAATTAGGAAACGTTTTATTGTCATTTACTGCCCTTCGTCCTTCACTTTTAGGGTGCCAGGAGCCAAATTGAGGAGTTCCAGTCTGCCAGATTTCCACGCCCTTTGAAGGAAGCCATTCGCCGTCTTTTGTCCTTGGTAATAAACTTGCTGCTTCCCTCGTTCAAGTTCTCTGGGCTGAGAAATGCTACCTTGAAAATCCGAGTTCTGTATTCTCAACATGGACTCATCGGAAGATAAAATGGAAAAAAACAGTTATTTATCGATTCGTTTTATTTTTAATAGAGTGGTGTTAAGTTCTACGGTTCTACACGCACACACATAAATATAATATTTCACAGTTGTGCATTCTTACAACAGTTTTCCTTGTCTTCATCTGATGTGACTGCGGATGTGATGTCTCAACGGTAACATGTTTCTTTCACGAAGGGGAACATCCTTTCCGTGAGTGAAGATCTTAAATTTGACCGCATCTTTAAACGGAATCATCCAAAATACAAGGTACAGTTCCACATTGGATTTTTCTAACCAGAGAACCTCTGTTTTATCAGCCATTGATGGATCATTTAGCAACCAGATACAGTGTGTCATTCATTCCCTAGAACTTAGTTAATCATATCTAGTCACATTTTACAGAAGAATCATAAACCAGTAAACTGTTTGGTTTGAACAATTTAAATGGGGGGGATAGTAATTATGCAAAAAAACTGATAATTTACACAAGAAATACTTTCTAAGATACAAAGTAAAGAGCCACTGGTGTGTAAAGGAGATTGTAATTTCTATGAATGAAATAAATTGTCAGATGAGTTATATAATTTCCCTGTGTCCAAATAAATAAACATGTTACATGAGCTTAACGTAAGATGGACTGTGCTCTCCGTTCCCATGCTCAGTCACTGAGACGCATTCTTATTAGAGTTCAACATTTGTTAAGAACATTTTCAACAAGCTTAAAACCAAAACAAAACAAAAAAACGAACTTCCATCCACGGATGTAAGGTTTTATGTCAGCTTTGACTGAGCAGACTTAAAATATGAAGTCTGCAAGTTTGCCTGTTGATTAACTCAATTAACAAACACACAGATACATACATTCAATCACTCAAAAAAGGACTTAATTCTTAGAGCAAAGTTCCAAAAATAAAAGCAGCAGAGTACAGTTGTAAACTGTATTCAGAACAGTAACTACATTCTAAATGACGAGCCAATTTTTTCTTACAGGAAGTCGAGAGATGGCGATTTAATTCGATGTTGCCCGAAGAAAGTATTAAATTAAATTTGTTTTTTATTTAAAGAGCACCTCTACATCTGGATGTGTAAAGTAATCTGTATATTCTGCATTATTCTTTATTTCAGTAGGTCTGCTAGGAGTAAAAAGTTTTTAATTTTTATTTGAAGACACAAAATGGAATGAAAAAAAGAAAAGTTTGACTAAACTTGAAGCAGAGCAACAATTATTTCTCAGTTCGTCTGCAGTCACAAGAAGTCGCCACTAGATGGCCCTCTCAATTAAGGAAAGACAGCACAAAGGTCAAGTTTGTGTTATAAGGCAAATACATAAAAGAAGCATGACACAGAGATGATTCTGCAGAGTGGCACCACAGCGTTCCTGATGCCGGTGAAATGAATGAAAGCTGTGACCGTGGACGAATGCAGTTTGAACAAAAGTGAAATACAAATGAACAGCCATGCTCTGTGCACCCTGTTAGTTGTTGTAATGGTGCTGTTTCAGAGCAGTGTTGGTCTTGAAATCACACTTTCATCCGCTTTTTATTTACTTTTTAATATTTTCTGTGTATTTTTTTAGTTATAGATTCAATGGATCTATAAAAGATAGATTAGGGCCCAATATTCTCTGAGGGGATACTTAAGCAAAGCTAAATCCAAAACTATCCGATTCAGGCAGCGATTGCTATCATGTGGGAATATTCCACCTCTGCCAAGCTTCTGGAGAGCGTGAGTCATCCTGTCCGTCTGTGCTGGTATATTTGCAGGCGTTTATTGTACCATATAACTGACCTCACAAACACCTAGTGAACTCACATAACCTTAGATTATCGCACCCCCACCCCGGGTTTCATCGTCAGCTATATGCATCCACCATAAGTCACAGGTGGTGTCACATCTCCCTACGTGTTTTTAGGGTTTGTGTTCACGTTTTCCTTTTCTATTACAACTGGTATTCACAGGGGTGTTTACTTTTGTGTTATGAGGTTTCCATTTTATACTTTAATATAATATTTGAGGTATTTAGAAGTGAATGTAAATGCAGTATCAGCCAAAGTGTGAAGTGATATGGTTGAATTCATTTGACATTTGAGTATGAATAACAGAAGTTCTGTTGCATTCCAAATAATACAACAGGTTAGCAGACAGGACCAAAATTGACTTAAATGCATTTAGTATTCTATAAGTTCCAAATATATTTGGCTGTCAAAGCTTTTCACAATGCACACTGCAAGATAATTAAGAAAACATGAATTCTTACTGGACATATTCTGCTGGTTATTTGACAATGTGTGTAAACCACTCAACATCTAAACACACGGATCTCTGCCCATTACTTAATACATGCACTCAACATAGGACGTTTTGTTAGGTGTTTTAAAATGCAACAGACATGCACACATAAAAGATAATGACTCTTTTTAATGAAATATAACATGAAACGAGCAATTTACCACATCAGAGGCACAGGTTCTATGAACATGGGTCAGTATTTGGGGAACATTCCCACCCATCTTTGTAGCTGTCCCCTTTTAGCAGTCACGAGAAAAGTCGATTGAACTTCATTTCAAGTAGTAGAGAGATTCATCCACTTTGTCTTAATGGCATAAACACATTGTGGCAAGGCAGCTAAATAAAAGCAGATGTTCACTGTGATGGATTTCTTCACCGATCTCATTTAAGTGTCACTCCTCTCCCTCTTCATCAGTGGATGAAAGCAATGCATTACATTTTTTCTCTCTGCCTCATATCAAAATCTTGCACATGAAACCATCATGGCGTGATAAGTGCCCTTAAGTTCATAGCCACTCATACCAAATTCCAAAGTGCCCGTGAACACACACTGTGCACTGGACTTCATGCAGGGCAAGCAGTCAAAACTCTTCTGAAACGGGCTGAAACTCCCATAAATGTCTGTTTTTGCATCATTATCTTGGATAGTTATCTCTCTTATAGAGCTAAACTCTAAAATCAGTCTTTGTAATAGTTTTGTCATGGGTTGGTTAGCAGGTCACCTGACAGCAGGGGGTGCTTGTGTTTTGAATCTGGCTCTGGCCTTTCTGCAGGAATCTAAGTGTTGTGCGTGCGTTATATCCAGGTACTCAAGTTTCCTCCTATTGTTCAAAACATGCCTGTTTTCTTAATTTGGGATTCTGGTTGAATGAGTGTGCATTATAACTTGTCTTTGTGCGACCCTGATGTGGGCTGTTGACCTGCCTGGGGAGCACCTACTGTGCATAAGTCAGATTAAATAGATGTGGAACATGGAGGGTTTTGCATAAGAAGCTAATTAGTACTCCTTAAATAGTAACATTAATGAGAATAAAATGACATGCCTGATGTATATTGCAGTTGGTCGTGGTCATCAAACCGAGAGCAGTGAGTTAGAAAACAAAGACAGACAGTCTTTAAACTGAACCGAGGTTTGCCGTCCAGGTTGCAGTTCCTCTGTTGACCACTAGAGGTTAGTAAGGTCGGCAAAACCGGTTAAACCAAAGTTAAAGACAGACCTAAAGACTACTTGGGTGTTGTATCTGCCTCAAATCCATCCTTTTGTCTCAGTTTAGGATTTCCAGCACGTTTTTTCTTTCTCAGTCTAATTACACAACGAGAAAAGGTGAGTCTGGTCCTCATCCGTGATGTCTTAGTCGCTTCATTAGGCAGAAAAAAACAGACATTCAATAGGCCAATCACAGTTATTTTTATTTAATCTAAATTGAATCAAAACGCAGTTTATGCATTTGAATTTGGACCCAAGTGATCGTATTATTTCACTTTTGTCTTCCTGCTAATACATGCTTTTATACTATTGACACTAAGAAAAAATCTATCTCACGTCTTTCTTTTTATGTCTATAGATTAAGGAATAATGTTTCATAACTTTAAAAAACAGAATGGAAGACTATTTCAAGGGCTTTGTACCCAACTTGTTTGGGGACAAGTACCAACTTAATAATCCAAGTCAAATGCCAATCGATGACAGTTTGCAAACCATGACAACTTCTTATTTCCAGATTTATAGACTGTCAAACAAAAACAAAGAGAGCAAAGATGTCAACACGTGCGTCTGTAACATGAATCTGCCTCCAGAGATGAGCTTGGGAATCGCTTCAAGCTACCACATGAAAGGCTTCCTGTAAAAGAAGATCCAACAGAAGAATTAGGAGAGAGAATCTCTTGCTAAAGATGGTGTGAAAACAATCACTATGAATCATATTCAATCAGGGGCTTGTTCATTTTAAGACCCATTACTCAAACAATAAAGAGAACAACGCTGCACGTTTCTGACAAGATAACACAAGAATCTAAGAACTCTGCATGTTCCAAAAGATGATTAAAAAACCCGCATAGTGAATTGGTTTTATTTTAAAGGACAAGCAAAGAAAATATGATGTTTGTCTAAATATGACAAGCCATATAAGAACGCATAAGCAGAATGTTTCTGTTTTCAGAGGAAGACTTTCCATTTGATCTTGTTTTCTATTGTTAAACAGGGTTTATGAAGAGCTTGAATCAGCTGCACAATTAATCAGCCACATATGCAAATCATCTAATTATATTTGGTGTAAATTCCCACAGCTCTGAGAACAATGCATATCACTGTCGTAGCTCAATTAGATATTATGTTACTTCTATTTTGGAAAGAAATAAACATTGTATTTAGCAAGAATATGTGTGCATTTAATTAATTAATTTGTGATTCACATAAAATGTTAAGCAAAATAGATTCAAGGTGGAGGTTAGGGTTAAGAGAGTAAAACATAAAAATAATTTGAATTAGAATAAACAATATCTCACATGAGAAAGGCCATGGCAAATGTTCCAAGAACAAATTATTGTTTTTACTATTGATGTGAAAGTTTCGAAATCATTTTCCTATTTTGGAAGAACTCATTTATACATACAGACAATATATAATCTCATATAATGACATTTTTTGTCTTTCTTTTAATTTTATTTTAGTGCATGTTCAATAGTTGGCTGCTCCAAAAAAAAAAAAAAGAAATAAGCTCTTCAACACCGTCCCCCTGTAAAGAAAAGATTAAATTGTCCACACATTGTGCACATAAAGCAGAGTCTGGAAAGGTTTCAAACGGAGAGGAAGAGCACAAGTCAGGACAACAGGTAAGACCAGCCGTCTGCTACCAGGGGCAGTAGTTCCTGTTTAAACCTGTAGGAGGCGCCAGAGGACGCGTTGTGGAAGCCATGATGGTGCCTTCACGGTCTCCTCTCATCGAGACAAGAACATGTATGTCATCTTCACACACAGAGACAGTATGTTGGAAACAAGAGGCGGTAATTAGGCAACAATAACTTCCACAATTAATGCATTACCGGCAAAGATACGGAAATGAACAAAGAAACTATAGGTGGATTCGGTTTGAGTCTGATTTTAACGAAAAAAGGGGCACTTACCTGTCGAATATCACATATAATGAAACCATTAGATTCAGAGTTAAAATAAATTGAAAGGAGAAACGAAAATGAAACTAAGCAGTATTTTGAGGAAATTGCCATAAATATTAAGAGATGTTTGTGATGTAGTACTCTGACACCTTTCAGTTACTTTAAAAGGTGATTTATTTCCTTTTCTCGATGTTCTCATGACAAATGTAGATATAATGCAAATATGTAATTATTGTAGTTTCTAAAAAAAATCTCCGCAGCACAAAGTGTATGTAGAACAAAATGACCTGGATAAAAGTCTAAAGCGAGAATTAATATTAACGATAAACAAAAAAAAGTAAATATCCACACAAATTGCAAAGAAAGGTAAATATATAGATATATACCTCGTCTGAATAAGAGTAAAATAAGGCCTTTCATCTCCTGTAACAGTGTCCTATCTCAACCTCAGCCTTACCTGACTTGCTGATTAAGTCTCAGACAATTGCAAAAATGTAAAAAGAAATAGTTGGAATAAATGAAAGAACAACCATTAGGAAGGGGGAGGGCGAACAGAGAGGAGGCAAACAATGGAGAATCAAAGCATAATAATATTCCTAAATGAAGAGGGAAATGCTGCTCCACTCATTTTATTAATCAGACTGTCAATTTCACCCAAGAGGCCAAACCCAAGAGCAATCTAAAACAGACTCAGAGATCAACCCAGGGACAAGCACCTCGCTCTTCACTCCTCTCTTCCTCTCCACTTGGATATTATTCGTCTGACCGAAGGCCGCCTCCATCATCAAGTGACAGCCCTCTCCTATTTATTTGCTTATAAACCTGTTACAATAAATGATCATTGGAGCAACGTCAGCCTAGCATTTTAACAACGAACAGCAGGCACTTTTGATGAATGACATTTTGCTGCTGTGGGGAGGATGCACGGCTCGTTTTGAGCTCTCGCTCGGCGATTGCATTCAGATTCTTTCATTTTTTGCGCCTTGCTTATAAAAAGGTTTAGAGACAGTTATTGGACACACTTGCTGAGTTGCATGCGGATTTCGCTCTGACACAACTCCAGCCCCTTGGACAAGTGGTGTGTCTGATTTTTTTTTTTTGTTCACCCCCTTTTTTCCCCCCTACCCTCATCCCGACTTGCGCGGCTTAATGATGGAGAGGATAAGAAAAGAGATGATCCTGATGGAGAGGGGTCTGCACAGTCCTGTCGCGGGGAAGAGGCTCGCAGACACGCCTGGAAATTCAGTCCTGGAGGCCCTGGAAAACTCTCAGCACGGCGGACGGCTAAGCCCGAGAATAACTTCGGCTTCCCTCCATGGAAATCTCGGGGACATCCAGACGAAGAGCAAATTTGAAATTGACAGTCTTTTCGGCACGCACCACAACAGCGAGAACTCGTCCTCGGCGGAAATTTCCTCGTCGGAAAGTAGGAAGAAAATGAGCCTTTACTCCGAAGTTTCTCAAGAATCTGACATTAACAGTGATGTTGAAGTGGGGTGCCCTGCGCATCGCTCCCCGAGCCAGCACAAAGAGAACAACAAAGGTAAGGCTGGGTTTTATCTCCTATTTCACCAAATGTCATTTGTGGCTTATCGGTGTCTTAGTTTCAACACATAATAATAATAATTATTATTATTGTTGTCATCGGGAGTCTTCATTCTCTCACACAATATAAATACAAAAAAAATGACTACACAGGGATATTTATCATCACAATAATTGTTGCTATAATGAAATAAAAAATTGTTTCGTTTTAATATTGTAAACAATTTATTTATATTTTTTCTCTTTAAAGCTGACGCTTTTTCCCAATTCTTAATCTAAACTAAATCTGAGGAGGCCCAGGGATTCAGAGATAGTATTTCTGGATGATCCCAAATCATGTGATTCTCCTTTATTTTTCAGGGTTTTCAGACAGTAACTCTGGATCCTCCAACACGAGCTCAGGCTCCCTCTCCAACATGAACGGAAATTCATCGGGAGGATCCAACAATTCCAACTCCGACCAAGTCAGAAGGTATCGGACTGCTTTCACTCGGGAACAAATCGGACGACTGGAAAAGGAGTTTTACAGAGAAAATTACGTGTCGAGACCGAGGAGATGTGAATTAGCGGCAGCGCTAAATCTACCCGAGACCACGATTAAGGTAAAGGACGAGCTCTGTGTGTCTGTGTGTGTCTGTTCAGACAAAACCGGGACATGGCTATTTATATCGAATTATCTACTGTAATGTAGGTCTCCCTGTGTTTAATCCTGCTCTTGAAATGTAGTTTATTTGGTGGGGTTGTGGTGGCGTATGCGTAATTCTGAAACGATAAATAGTGAACTTGTTGGTTACTCAAATATATAAAATGTATTTCAGAAATTTACAATGCAATTCTCAAAGAAAATAATCGTAAAAAATGCCACCTTAAACAAATCAGTCGCTTTAATCCTCTGGCTCTAACCACCTTTTTTAAATTAATTTCCTTAAATATAAAAGATATTGTAGAGATATTGGGTCTCAGTGCTGGCATGCGTGTCAGTCCCGTGCACGCGCCGCAGCGTAATCTTCAGAGGTGCTCCAGAGCAACATGGCAGCTTCCATATGGGCCTTGTTCTGACTCTGTGTGCAGGTGTGGTTCCAGAACAGGCGCATGAAGGATAAAAGGCAGCGCTTGGCGATGTCCTGGCCCCATCCGGCGGACCCCAGCTTCTACACTTACATGATGACGCACGCGGCGGCCACGGGGAGCCTGCCGTACCCGTTCCACTCGCACATGCCCCTGCACTACTACCCGCACGTGGGCGTCACGGCCGCGGCCGCGGCCGCCGCCGCCTCCGGCGCCGCCTCGTCCCCCTTCGCCACCTCCATCCGGCCCCTCGACACCTTCCGCGCGCTCTCGCACCCTTACTCGCGCCCGGAGCTGCTGTGCAGCTTCAGGCACCCGGGACTGTACCAGTCGCCCGCGGGCCTGAACAGCTCCGCGGCCGCGTCCGCGGCGGCGGCGGCGGCCGCGGCGGCGGCGGCGGTCAGCGCGCCCTCGGCCCCCGCGGGGCCGTGCTCGTGCCTCAGCTGCCACAGCAGCCAGCAGGCGGCCAGCGCGCTGGGCTCCCGCAGCGCCGGCGCGGACTTTCCCTGCACGGCCTCCACGCAACGATCCGAGAGTGGATTTCTGCCCTATTCCGCCGCTGTCCTCAGCAAGACCTCAGTCCCATCGCCAGACCAGCGAGAGGAATCCTCACTTAACAGATAACTCCTCCAACAGCCCAACACGACCGGTTTCCTTTTTTTATTTTTATTTTCATTCTCTGGTGGGGGATAAGCCTATTTTAAAGATTATTCCTGGGTAAAGCATTAGGGAACACACGCCACCACTTTCCAAATTTTTGCAACTCATCAAGAACTTTTCTGAAGGCTTGTGCCCCTGATGTTGTACCAGTAGACTTGTTTTTATGGGCTGTGCTGCGTTAAGCTGTTTGGAGAAAATAGTTAACGCACCATATTTTTTTTTTTATTCAGTCTCCCATGCCTCAATCCACATGCCATTTGAAACCAATGTCTCAGACAGAAACCAAGAACTGTGAGCGAGTCAGAGTCCATATTTCCACATTTCAGATGTCCAATATTCAACATGACGACCAGGCTTTCTTTAGAGCTAGAAACCTGGGGTAATTTTACTATCTAAATTTAGATAGCACAATGTCTCTTTCCAGTTCTTTTTAAAAAATATATTTTTATTATTTATATTTTTTACCCAGCAGCAGATCTTTCTTCACTAGGCCTAATGGACTGAGATTTTGGCAGCAATAGCTTCCCCACCGCTCCCTCTCTGCTCTGTGGGGACATTCCTAATCAGCTAGAAGGTGCATATCATTTTGCACCGCGTCTTTGGTGTCAATTTTTATGTTAATAATGAGCGGATCATGACAAAAATTGCCAATCATGTACCTAGATGGAGCTCCTTTGAATACACGACTCTAAGAAAGTTCCTCGTTTTGAGACCCGCTGTCAAGTGCTAACAACCCGCGGAGGGAAGTCATTAGACATACAAAAGACCTGGAGCAAGGCGACAGTCCTCGCTCCACGAGGATGTCTGACACGTGAACGGTGTAAAAAAAATTACATTTAAAATAGCCTTCCAACAGCCCCTGGACTCGTATTTTGTTTGATTATGGGAAATACCTCGACACACAAACATTCACTCACACAGACACACACAACCACACAGACACAACAGCCTCTCGCCACTGTTTACATGGTTGAACGTCATTATAGCATTTCAGTATTTTCATAGGTGTGTAATCCCTACAGGACCTCCTCACTCACTCCTCACACTCAGAGACGGGACTGAACAAGGCGAAAGTTCAGACCAAATAGCCCGGCTTATCAATCTGTCTCCGCCTGTAAAAATGGCTGTGTGCATTTTAGTGGTTCTTTTCAGGACATCACCAGTATGTTGATTACAAAAAAACATGTGAAGTGTAATAATAATTTTTTTTAAAGTTCTAAAAAAAAGGAAACATTTTTTTTTTTATTTCAGGTAGTCCTACTGATAGCTGAAATCGGAAATATTGATCTGAAAATAGTCTCAAGAAAGAGGCCATTTTTTTCCGAACACATTTTTAAAAAATAATTTATTTTATGTGAATTGCTGAATGTTTTTTATTTTTGTTTTTTATGTTCAAACACTGGATGTACAGGCCAAAAAAAGAAAAGGAAATTCACACAGCCTTACGATTGGCCTGTACATTTTCCAAGAATTTAAATTGACGAACTGTTTTTCTGTTTTTATTTTTGTTTTACTTTTGTGGGAGGGGGAAAAAACCAAAAGTCATCTGTTGAGATGGAAAGCATTTCTTTGCGGGTCCACTCAGAAGAGGCTTTAGAGGCTGAGAAACGGGCACTGAAGTGACGCGAGAAGGAAACAGCCTTTGTCCCTTAGGTCTCTGTTATCACTCTATATCTCTGTATTTAAAAATATCAATGACTGTATGAATTCAAATATTTTAACTTGGAAAAAAATGTGCAATATGAAATGTAAATCATGTTATTTATTGATCGTGTTTGTTCTTGGGAAATAAATAAAAAAAAATCTTTACACATTTGCTTTCTTTACATAAAGATGGCGCAGACAGGGATGTAAACAAAAGCCTCAGCTGAAATTCCTTTAAATAGCCTTTCATCCGCTGTGAGCTCAATTTTCAATTTCATTCCTCGAAATAACGTGAACATCACTTATGTCAATTCCACGTCAATGGAGATATCGGACATCGCAGCACTTCTATAAGAGGACTGCGGTCTAACATTAATTAAATATAGGTGGAAGGCTACAGGGAATATAAAGGCTGCCATCACGGGTCATTCCGGTCCTATAATTTACCATTATTTTTACATTACCTCTAAATGATACAAGCTGATACTGTCGTTAATTGCAGTTGGTTAAAAATATAGCTTACACCAAGAATTCCCCCGTGGGACTTTAAGATAAGTTGCTTTTTTTTTATAACGTCCCCATTAAAGAAATAGGATTAGGGGAGCAAATATGGGCGTGATGTATCACCAGGTTCGCTTGCTCTTTACTAAAGAGAGGGTTTCTGCCCGTACAACAAAGGCATTGAGATAGATGGAGGTGCAAAAAGGAGAAGACATGAGGCCAGAAAAACACTGCCCACGATAACACGATTAGTTTTGTATCCAACGTGCAGGACAGAAAAGAAAGAACGGAGGGGGGAAAAAAAGAAGAAGGATTCATCATAATGCAGAAGACTGTCTGTCACCTTCACTGAACGGTTTTTGACAAGAAAATAAATCTTTGGGTTGTTTAATATATTTTATATTTTCTTTATTTCGGTGCTAATAGAAAAAGCAAATTAAATGTCCAGCAGAGAGATAGAAATGCAAAGATCGATGATCCTGCCCCTACTGTCCAATCACCCCTATTTAATTGACTGTATTTTCAGGGTAATTGAACTGCTTGTTGTAAATTGAGGATTTTATAGAAACGACATGAAAACTGCATTTACTGACATTCATCGCATCTTTGACATTGATTATCTGATCAGCGCCGTGTCATGCTAACCTCCAATTCTTCATTACACACTGTTTATGAGCTGTTACAGAACAACTTGCCTGCTCCAGAGTGATTGATTGCCTTATTAACGCGTGTTCTTGTAAGTGTGACCGGACTGATTACGATGCATATGTTTAGAATAATGTTTCATTTAGCTGACTGCGAGTAATGCAGGGTGACAGCTGCTGCGGGAGGACAAAAAAAAAACACACACACAAACCTAAACTACAGGGAGCAAGCGGGGCCAAAACGCATTTAAGGTGGAACCAGCTCACAGCAGAGAGCCTGATGCGGTCAAACGCGGCCGCTCAGTGCCAGATGACGGACTGGCAGCTCATTGTGGTCTTCAGTGACCTAAATGGGGGCTAAAAACACCGCATTACTTTTAATCGAATATACTCTGCTATGTTACTTAAAGCCCCTGCTCGCAATTCCATACGTCAAGCATTTTGAATGCGTTTTCACACATTTATATTTCATGCAGCGCAACTGAACGCATCAGCTGTAATTGAAATAAATCATTTGAAAACCTCATCCCACACCTAGTTGCCAAAAAGATTACCATAATTGTTGTTTTGGTTGGATATGTGCAGATTTTGCTAATACACTTCACCCAAATTTCCAGCCAACGTGCTGCATGAGCTGCAAGGGCGAGATTTATGCCACCATTATGCTTCCAAAGCCGTCTCTGCTCCGTTTGTCTCAAATCATTGCCTCTGTTCAAATGTTACTTTCATATATTACATGACATTAATTCAACTATAGCTCATTAAGACAGAATGAAATGGTTAAATTAACTTATCAACTCATAATGATGATGAATGAGGTATTAATTCAGATACAAGCTGGGCAATTTGCAATTTCGTGCGTTTTGATGGTTCTCAAATAACATTTAATATAGCGGGTCATCCCCTCAATCAATTACACAAGCACATGAGCCTGTGGTATGGAAAATGCTTTTTTCATGCATATGTATTGAAACGTGTTCTCAATTATTTCAGAAATAGCTTTTTATTGGTTTAAGTGTAATTCTTCCAGTGGCCCCTCACACTGGATCTACTTAAGGTGGCACTATAAATTGTCGTTTTATCAAAAAGTCTGCAAGATCTCCACCACAAAGAGCACATTTTATTTTAGAATATATTTTCAATGGTAATTTATTGAATTGACATGCACAAGGAATTATTGTTATCCTCAGCATTGCACAAACAATTTCGTTTGCCTGAACCACATGCACTTTTTGATGACAAAGTTTTAATAAATAAAATTGATTTGGGTTGCTTTTAGATCTAGAATAATCAAGTTGTCATCAAGATTCCCAAAACAGTAAGAGAATTGAAGTGCCATGTGTCTTTGGTTTTAAAAAGAAAAAAAAATGGGTGGAAAATTTGGGTTCATTCTCTTGCTGTAATTAGTTTGGGAAAATGAGACAGGCTCTTATTAGTGGGGCCACGCTGAATCTTCATGAAAAATTCTACAGTTTTGTCAGAAGACCATGGTTGTCAAGTATGTTGATTCATTTGTTGCTCATCACAAAGTGGTGACATGTGCTGAAATTCACCAATATTCCAGATGATTTCACAAAACCTGGAGCTCAAACACAGATAGCTTCAATCTAGATACTCTTTAAAGTGCAATACTAACATTACACAAAAGGGCTCTAATTCAATTTTTTTTTCACTGAATCATGAGCATTCAGGTGAGGCGATATAATGAAAGTCTAAAGCACCAATGATTGTGCCTCCAGCAACAAAACAAAAACCTTTAAGTTCCCCAAAGTTTTGGGAGGTATTTTTTCATTGTTCCTTTTACTATTTCCTTTTACTATTTCTACTTTTTTCACCCATTTTCTTATACAAATCCAAAGGCTACCCTTTAGGACCAGTTTGGAAAAATCAAAAACTTAAACTGTGTTTGGTTTTAAAAAGCATGCATGGTCATCTTCACACACATATTTCTGACTTCTGTGAGGTCATTACAGAGTGATCGTCCATGCAAAGTCTGCAGTGCACAAAGTGTAAGGCAAAGGAAAATGGGTTGGCTTGTTCAGCCAGCAAAACAATGTTGAAAAGATCTTGTCTAAAGCAGAAGGCTGGTTTAGTCATAATATTTCATCATGATCAATGTATGGTAATGCTTATTAAGAGTGACCATAGCATTGGATAATTCTGACAAATACATTCAAATGAAAAACCATTTTGGATGGATCCAATTCATGATGGAGGGGAGTCTGGAGGCCAGCTGCTATTGGACAAGGAGCAGAGTATGGATGGATCCGCTGTGCGTCATGGGGCATTAAATAATCACGGTACATAAGAACAAACAACATAAAAAAATATGAACAAAAAAAATCCCAGAAAACTATTTGAATTGATTTCCCACTGAATTCTCTTTGCAGTAAACAACAGTATCCGTAATCCTTATGCTGTTATGATGAGAGGAACAACAAGAATATTTGTTTTGGAAAACAAGCATATCAGTTATTTACAGTGAATTATTTTTTAACTTTATTAGTAGTATTGGTTGTATATTTCTGAAGGCAGATTTAATTACCACTTAAGATACATTTCACATTTGATGCATCCCACAAAAGTTTTGTCTTTTTTGCCTGCAATTCTGCATCTTGATGCATTTCTACATCGACCGTTGTTGGAAAATGGACAGAACCATGCGTTTGTGTTGCACCATGGGTACATGGCTACACTGATCTTCTTCTGGGTGAAGGAGCTTTCTCTTCATCATCATCAGTGCTTGTCACGTCAGTTTCTTTGGTTGCACCTCGTCGTGTTTAAGAAATCAATTTCTGAGCTAACAGTAGCTTCAATTCCTTGTTATGGAGGATGCCCTTCCTCATCTTTAAAAAAACTAAAAAACAACTAAGCTCTGGCCATCAGCCATGAATTGGATCCAGCTGCTTGTAAAAACAAAAAAAGAACAAAAACCACGTGAACAATTATTTTTTTAATCTGATAAAAAAATATAATGCCCTTCTTTACTGGGCAATAGCTGCTTTGTGGTTCTATTTCGAGTGTTATAGAAACCATAAGAACTGAATTGTTGTCTTGGCACTTTGTCACTACAGGTTCAGAAGATTTTCCTATGATCATTGCAGAAGCTCCCTATCCGTTCCACTGCTGCTGATGGTCACTTGACATTTTTCATTATCGCAGTTCCTGTGACAGGTAGACCATTTGCCTGTTAGACATCAAATAATTTGACTGAGGTGAGGTACCTGTCAAAGTAAAGATGAGTTCCTTTTGGAACAGGCTCAGTCATCCGAAGAACTACTTTTCCTCCAAATCCTAGTTTTTCATCTTTGAATCCCCCCCCCCCCCCTGCATAGACACCAAATTCCAAGACTGAGCCACTTGGTCTGGCAAGGACCGACACTTCCAATAGAGTTGGTTTTTCTACAGGAGAGTTATCGAAACAGACACCAGTGACCAGCATTTATAGGTGGTTTGTTAATCTGCCAATATCTTCAGGATCATCTTCCAGGCTTCCCAGGAAGTTTTTTGCACTTTCAGTAAATGAACTGCAAACCGATTTCTAAGAGCAAAAAAGAAAACGTCCCCAAGACTGACCAAGACATGCTTCTGTTTCTGTTTCCTGGTATGTCTCTTTTTTGTTCTGTTTAAGAGGTATTTTGTTTTCAGCAAATAATAAGCATTTTGCAATCTGCCCAAGCTTTAATGAGCACCCTGAGGCCAGTGCTGCGTTCACATACTCACTAATGAAGCACCATTACAGCTGTATTTGTTTTGGGATTTTAACTAGTAGTATTTTGTAGAAAAAAGGTTTCCTTTAACACGATTGAATAAAAACTGACCCTGTATTGTAGGTCTTATATTATTGTAATTTAGATTTTAATTTCTTTCTATCAGTGTCAGCTGTTTTGACATTTCATCATGGCAGATGTTCTGATAAGAGTTATGTCCAAACAGATGTGGTTTGCAGTGCAGGCACCACATTTTTCTCAACTATTTTACATTTGTCTGTTTTCAAAATCTGCTCCAGGCCTCTTATATATATTGCCCTTTATGAGCTGCATAGCTGATGTTTTTCAAAGTAACCACAGTCAGAATGGTTTTAAGTCAGCTTGTCTGTCACAGAAGTGGGACAGACCTAAAGGTCTGCACCAGTAGGGACAGGGCATGGCAAGATCAAATACTTACATTACAAATACATTGGATTAAATAAGCATTTTTGGGCTCTGATTGCTCAATAACCACAGGATTCACACAGACACACTCACATGGACAGCCTCCATGTTTAATTTGTAAGCACAGTGTCCTATATGTGAGGTCACGTCTGCTTTTAGGGTCACTTCTATAATCCAACTTTTCCGATAGCTGTATGCAGGTCTGTTAACGTCCAGTGCCATCAAACCACCATGGCTTGTAAGAATGCTGACACTGTTACTTTATTATGGCAAGTTGCATTTTTAGGAGCATTCCCTGACGTTCAAGTTAGTTTTTAACAGTCAGTTAACATTTAAAGAAACATCGTGTTGGATTATCCCGATGGATGTTTGATGATTTTGCGCTTATTGTAACTCATAAAGTGTAAGCTTGACAGATAAGACACGAGGACACGCTGAAAGCCCCGGAGCGCTCATGTTGCACGCGCCTCTCAGCGGACACTCCCCCATCTTGACTCTGTTTAGACAGGACAGGCTACCGTCCTACTTCAGCCTGTTGCAGCCGGACAACTTCACTTCCGAGGTACATTAACCTTCTGCAACCGAACGCAGAACATTCAAGTGCCGACCGACTAATTCGGGGACGCTTGCTTTCACAAAGTCTACCCAAACTCCGGCGGGTGAGTTAGCCTGAGGAGCCGTAGAAGCAGTGCTAGCTAGCGGCTACGAAAAAGTAGCCCGTGTTACGTAAGTGCTAATGGTAGATCACAAGCCGCTGCTTTTACGATGTTTGCCGCAAAAAACGGCGACGTGTCGCCGTTCATTTGGTTAAAAACGAACACAGTTATCTTAATCTTTGTTTTAGAGTTTTCCAGAAACAGTCTGTGGGTCGCTAAAGTTTCCCAAACCGCCTGTGAATGGACTTTGTGACGATAAACTGGTCAAACCGAGAGTTGTAGCCATTACAGACTGTGCTGTTGAAATTGTTACAATTTGGAAAGCTTATCAAACGTGGTTATGTTTTGTAATATCTCAAAATAGTTTATCATCACGCTAGCTGCAGTTTAAGGATATCTGCACTGTCCAACTTTAACGAGAACTTATTTCAAATCAGCACTTCTTCAGCAGTTTTATCCCAGAAGAGCACCTCTGCTACACTGACGTGCACTTCTACCATCTTGGCAGATTTAAACTATTCACAACTTCTCACTGCTGTCAACAGGTGGAAAAGGTAACCAGTGTGTGCCATTCAGAGGGGGATCCCAATAAAAGGTTAAGCTGCACTCCCTCCTCTGCAACATGGGGGCTCTGGTCTCACGATGGAGGGTTTGTATTGAAACCTTTACTGATAACAACTTTCTCCTTTAGTTCACATCACACTAAAGCATTCAGTCAGCAATGTGTGTTATAAAGATTACAGTTATGTCATAGCCATCATGAGGTGTCAAAGTGACACTGTGTCCATAGACTTAGACGAAGAATGGTAATTCAGATTGCGGCACCCTTTCTGGTGTGTCACAGTGTTTGCTTACAAAGTGATATTGAAACTAACACTGCAATGCACACGTACACAACAGACACACAGCTGTTACAACAGAAAATCAGGAAGTTTCCAAATCACGTAAGGAAGTTACATGCAAAGAGGAGAACCTGATTTATTAATAGTGATCACATTGTCCTCTTTAAATGTGTTTTATTTAAGTATCTATTTATTTACAGGCTAAACCGTCCACTGTGGAGGTTTTGGAAGGACTTGAAAAGGTAAATTTGCCCAAAAATAAATATGTAAATGTGTAGTTAAGAAGTACTCTTAAAAAATATCTGACAATTTACCATGAGTTGATTTCAAAAGCGTTTTCCATTTTGTGTTTCCGTGACGCCCCACGAGTTCCTGAAAAAAATCCAATACAAAAACTTGACGCCTTAAGTTTTAACTTGTCACACAAGGAACAGTTTGAGAGTAGAGGCGTCTGGAAAATGTCTGGAGATGTGTTTTTTAGAGCATGTAACATCTGACAGAATTGTATTAGAGCTGCTGAGTGAGGGGCTTTACTGCTCCTCTGGAGTTAAGCTAGCGTTTGGCTATTTTCAGCACCTGTCCCTGAAGCATCGGCTACTTAGCGTCTCAAGTCAGAGAGATGTCGGGTGGCATTGAAGTCTAAAGGGATGGTTGTTGTGCTTGTTCGTTTGTTTTTTCAACATAAAGTCTGTTACCAAAATAATACACTTCCATAGTTGTGTATTCTTAGTTTAGGGAACGCACATGTGTTGTGCAGTGTGCTCTAAGGCCGATTGAGACCTCAGTTAATTTGCTGCTTGGAGTGACACGCACACATGTTACAGTGGCACCATTATGACCAAGACTGGGTCCCATTCTATCCTTCAGCTATATTTAGAGGGGCCACTCAGCACTCTTTAGCAGTGGTGTAACATTTCCCTTTCCCAAACGTTTAAGGCCACTGTGTTAATGTCAAAGCTAATTTAAATAAGTTTATTCAAACAAGTCTTTGTTTAATTTGGATCTGATCAAACGCTCCCTTGTTACGCTCCTTCTCGTTGACTTGGATCATCCTAAAAACCCTGAAACAATCACGTCTGTAAAGTCATGCAGTGATGAGGGACGTGCAGAAATGCTGGGTGCATGGAATCTCCCCATATTCCCGCTGTCTTAACGCTGCACCAGATACTAGCTGCCCCTTAGGCTTGTGCTGCATTTAAACCTCACTTAAGGAAAAATAATAATGAATTATGGGTCCAGTCTTATTGGAAAGTCCTGCTGTTCAGCATAACTCTGACATTATGATCCCGACCTGGGAGCAAAGTCTGGGAAATGTTACCATAAATTGCTGTTTGAGAACTGTGCTAATGATCTCTTTAGTCTCCCCTTCTTTGTAGGAGGAAAAACCTCCCACTGCTTCCATTGTTTAAAGTAATTCATATTGATCAATTATTCATTTCTAAACAAATAGAGGAGTACTGTTGGTAAAGTCTGTTCTCAGTCTCGCATAAGATGCAGAAATATGATACACTGATATGTAGACCATGAAAAAGGTTCAGAATTTTTAAAACTAGGATGAAAAGTTGGTTCATTGTAAACCGACTGACATGTACTTAATCTAATTTCTGTCCTGATACAATTTTCAATTCTTTGTCCTCACAGGATATACAGACTCTTGAGGAGCACAGGGAGAAGAATCAGAGACAGTTAAAGATATGGATTGGACGGTTGCTCATGTACTCGGCTCTCCTTTACTTGATCACTTCCATAGTTGTGTATTTGTGGTACCTACCAGAGCAGTTAATGGGGCGGCTCGTACTTTCTCTCCCCTTTGTAATATTTCCACTTTTGTAAGTATGCAAAAAAAAGATAAATAATATCCCCCCATCATGGATTTATTTTTGACTTTCTTTCTTTTATTCCCTCTTGTTAGAGTATGGTTGCTTCGAAAGATGATCGTAGTCATTTTTTCACGGAGAACTGAAAAAAATAGTAAGGTCGAACTTTGTCTTGACATATTTTTCATCTCAGAATTTTTATACAGACTTTTGTTGAATTTTGTTTTTCAAACCTTTTTTTGCAGATGAAAAGCTAGAAGATCTTAAAACACAAAAACGGAAAATTGTAAGTAAAATTGGATTGTTTCTCATGTTTGACCTTTTTTATGTGGCTTTATACACAATGGGAAAAAAATAACTCTTGAGAGTAACAGACGGTGCCACATTCAGATTTGATCTCTCACCTACCCTCAGAAACTCATTGCTCCTTCTGCTCTTGGCATTTTGCAGAAATAGTTTTGCCTGTCTAGGATCTGAGCAAACAGCCCTTGATTGGTACAATGACTTAACCCAGCAAACTACTCTGCTAATGTCACTTTAATTAATAGCATTTAGTACTTGAAAGAAATAAATCTGAGAAATTACTTGTCATCCTCTGTCAAGTTCTAATAACTTTCAATAATTAGGGCTGATGGATTTTCGCACTCTCTATTATCGAAGTAGTGAATGCAATTATTCTTCATAGTATGTGTAAACATGTAGAAATATTGACTGTTTTATTTCAAATGAAGATGCACTCTTTAGGGCAGCAGCTTCTGTGATATTTTGCGTCTATTTTCCGGCTTTATAAATGACAGCAGCTGCTCTTCCAACAATTACTGCGCTGTATCACAGTTAGTCCAGGAATCATTTCTGTGTGCACTGCATTGAAAAAAAAAAAGATTGATCTTAATCATATTAACATAATTATTTCCCCCCAGCTTGAAGAAGTGATGGAAAATGAGACGTATAAAAATGCCAAAATTATTCTTGAGAGGTTTGACCCCGATTCCAAAAAAAAAAAGGTGAGTTCTGTGGTTTTCATAATATAGGGTGGTTGGCTCTCTGTTCTGTCCTGGTCTGCTGTCTGCTATTGACTCCTGATATTGTGTCTTGTTGCCAATGAAGGATTTCGAGTCCACTCCTGTTGGACCTCAGATGACTCCAAAGCCAGGACAAGGTATGAGAACCCCTTGCGAGGGTTTGAAGGATATGGCAACACCTTCACCTCTTCCTCTTGCTTTTTGGACTATTGTTAAGCGGCATTCTGTGATTTTTGCACGTTAGAGCTCCGCCAGCGTAATGTCGTCCCAAAGACCCCCCCTGCGCTGGTGAATCCTGCTGCTGCCCGCCCTCCGCTTGCCTCTGGGCCCACCTACCCCGGACGATCTTCCCACTCTGCTCCAGGTGGACCCCCAGAGAGGGCCCTGTCAGCTATAGCTGCTCAGCAGAGCTTGATGAGGAAGCCTGTGACCCCGGGAACACCTGTTCCAGGAGTTGGTGAGTTACCTGCACACAGTGGGACCGGATCATAATGTGGTCCATTAAGGTGTGATTTACTCTTCCCTGACTCTGCGTCCCCAGTTGCTCAAAGCTCTGCGGTTTGTGTTGTCAGCAAGGTTGTGTGATATTACACTGTAGTGGTAATGGGTAATTGTAGCAATGTAAGATTAAAGTATCTTACTAAATGCTCCAACCTTTCCCAAACAGGTGTATAATTATGAATTAAGATCATGGACCATTTTAAATTGTGTGTGAGGATTTAGCTCAAGATGCTGTCTTTTAAAAAAAAAAAAATAGATTTATTAAAAAACAATTTAAACAACCAGATGAAAAACTTCCATTAGAAAAGTTATTTAGTAGAAAACGCATCTGTGGAGTGTAGAATATTAAATATGAATTATTTCAGTGCTATGAACACTCCAAAGAAATCATGCAAAACATGCAAACAGTGGGAGAGATAAGCTTTTAGAATAGAGGAAGCTATATCCAGTAATTGCTGTGTGGAATGCCAACTGTGCAGCGTGCATGGTGCAGGCCAGCATTAACTATGATTAATTAGCCAGACCTGCGTTTGTTCTCTGGGCAGTGGTGGTGGAATCTAGCTAAATCTCTTATAATGCTTAGTGAAATTGCCTTTGGCATTGGGAACACCTCACAAATGGTTTACATGACTTGATGTTCTCACCTGCTTCTGTCGAAAATTGAAAGTGAAAAGCAATTTGATACAAAGAGTCACCACAGAGTTTCCATATGTTGGAAAATTAATAACCAGCAGGATGCCGAGACTCTGCCAAGTCTCACAGAAATGACCAGTCATCTTCCTATGATTGCTCTTGATGTTAGATTATATTAATTACTTCTTACCAGTGCAGAAGGGATTCAGAACGTGCTCTGCAAATGAGATCCGGTGTTTAGTCATTAAGGGAAACGTGCATATTTTTTGTTAAATTACTCAAGGTGCAGGGCACTGCTTATTTTGCAGAGCTGTTTCTAGAGCTTCTAGAGGAAGGAAGAGTGTGTCTAAACAGAAACTGCTGTTGTGGTTTTACAGGGATGCATCCCCCAGGCCCGCCACTGACCAGACCTGTGCTCCCAAGGGAAAGAGGTGCAATGGACAGAGTCATTGAGTATCTCGTTGGCGATGGCCCCCAAAACAGGTACACAACCTCTTCCACAACTGTGGAGACGGTTCTTTGAAATTTTTGGATTTGAACTAATAGACTGATTTATTCTTATGGTGACTTACTTTTATAAATCTCGCAATATAGAAATCTAAGTCATGAACTTAGTGTTACAATAGTGTTAATTTCAACTTGTTTGATGAAAACCATCATTGTATTTATCAATAGTTCTCTTTTTTAATGCCCTCTACTTGTTGTCTGTGTGATGTACTCTCTCCTGGCCGGATTGTCTTTCTTCTCTCATAGATTCGCTCTCATATGTCAGCAGTGCCTGTCTCATAACGGCATGGCATTAAAGGAAGAATTTGAATACATTGGTAAGATTTTGAGAATCACAGCACTCTGTCAGTCCCCATCAAACATTGTGCCTTCATTTGCCCTCTAGCATTTGGCAGCACAGTATATCATATGGCTCTTAAACGCATCTGCCACCAGCAACTCCTGTAAGCAAAAACAGAACAAGATGGAATATGCAAAGTAGAGCTACACATCAATCTGAAATGTTTATGCATCTTAGGCAATTTTTGCAATTGGTTGACATTCATATATATATATATATATATATTAATCTAAGTTTGTTTACATATGTATTAGTGGGGTTACATAAACTTGATGTACGGCACTTTGTGTTTTTTTAGCCTTCCGTTGTGCATATTGTTACTTCTTGAACCCTGCGAGGAAGAGCAGGCCTCAGGCACCCAGGCTTGATGTCACTGGTGAGGTGAAGATGCCGTCCGAAGTGCCCCCACCAGCATGTGCTGCTGACGCTGACGATGACAAATGTGCTCCAGGTGAACACAACTATATGAATGTATTTAGATGCATTTGTTGGATTCAATGCAGATGTACACAGCAGTATCTGTTTTTTTAAGTCTATATTTGGACTCGTTCTGCTTCTAAACTGGAAAAAAAACTGTTTAATTATCAGGAAAAATCGAGCCTGCTGATGTCCCTCTTGGAACAGATTCCCAGGAGCCTGGCACACCTCCAGCCACAGAGCCCAGCTCTGCATCCGACAGCCAAGACACGCCAGAGTCACATGACCTGCCCTCTGAGAAATCTGATGAGGAGAATGATATTTCTGCCATGGAAGTGGAATAAAGCACGGGACTAGTGATTTCAAACCAAGTCCAAGGTGGGGCTTATTTTCTGTCAGGAAATGTAATGGCAAGTTTACACGTAAATAGCAGAAGTTACAAAGGCAACATGTAGTTGATTTTATTTTCACCTCACAGGACATCCCTTTTGTCAGAATGGCTTTTAAAGTAACTGTAGTAGTAATGACTTAAACATTTCATTGCTGAGCACTTGCATCTATTTTTCATCATTTTGATCGTTACAGGTCTGTAGCAGGGAGCTCTAAACATTTGCTCCACTTGGTCCTTGACCTCTGCTTTGCTAAAGTGAAGTAGCGTTTTCTTTCTGGCATCAAGGTGTAGCGTTCACCTAATCGAAATGCTGTCAAAGCTCCAGTTTAGAGGCCATACGTCCCCTCCTACTTGATCACTATCATAAAAGGAAAAGGAGGGGAAGAAGTGAGATGGACGCTAACTGGGTTTTGTTGTTTTTCAGGTTGTTTTTTGTCCTTTTCCATATATTTTATTTGTTTTTGTTTGAATGGGTGATATTGCTGGTAGATAGTAAACAGTACTAAAGAAGTTTAAGGTTGTTGTGGGAAAACGTATTTATGGAATGTTATTTATAGCTATTTTTGTACACCTGCCATGATGATGTTAACTGAGGTACTGTGCATTACAGCGGTGCTAACTTGTTTACAATACCAAAATATACAATAGGAAAGCGGATTGTCCTACTGTGCATGTCATAAGTGCCTTTTTATATTGAAGTCTGAGTATTGTCAACAAAATAAAATATTTTTACATCAGACAATCATTGACCCATTCTCAACCTTAAGCGACAGTATCTCATGCAGAATGAATGCCTGCAGAAATAATGCCAAATGAACATTTCAGAACATCTGTATACACATGCTCACAGCTACAGCATCTGCATCTGTTACACGGTTCTTGTGAAACCCATTTCTTTATCTTCAAAATAGAATTAAATGCACTACTCGGGTACTTTTTTTGTATTCGTTAACCTGAGATTGTCTGCCCAGCTGTTCTCTCAGCCCGATATTTAAACAGTCTATTTTCATTAGCAGACCAATTTTAGCCTTTGATCATTTTATTTTGGCTCATTGATCATTTCAGACAGAGTAAGATAATGGTGCTGACACACATCCTGACCAGTCTTGATTGCTTGACCCTCTTCATTTGCAACGAGAAAGTCATCGCGGCTGCAAAGTTGCTCTCTGCCATCACGTGACCCCCCTCCGAAGATGCTCCGTAAACTATTGGCGAGGTCGACATCCCGCATCTTCTATGGGTTTTGATAATGTATGTTTACAGAGACGTGACCTCCTGGGCCTTGTAATGCATCAATGTGACACCAACAGTAACGCCTGATTCCACCGCACGCTGTTTTGAGGTTGACCTCTGACAAAAGGCAAACTGAGGGGGGAAAAAATGGGACATCAATAGTACAATGTTCAAATGTTTCTACACCACTGGGAGGTTTTCCCGGAATGCACAACCCGCACATATGTGGAATATCATGAGTAATATATCACAGAAGATCTGTGCACTTTGTTTTGACTTGAATCTCGTTTTTGATCCCCCCCCCCACTCCAGTTATTTATATCAAAGGTTTTCAACTTGCCAACATCGTCCTGTTTAGTAACTAACGTGATTGATGAGAAGACAGATAAATGATCACAGAAAATAGTTCAATTGTATTTTTTTAAACTTTTAAATGATTTTCCTACATTGATGAGATTACCTTTCCTCTGGTACTATTGTATGTTGTGCAATGATTTTAATGGTTGTCCAAATGAAAATCTATTTAGGCACAATCAATATTTTGGATGACCCTTAAGCAGTCTTGGTTAAAAGCTGTTGTTCTCATTGTCTGGACATAATTGATCCCTATCTCCACTTTTTAAAAGCACACGAGCAATTCAACAATCCAAACATAAACTCTGCTCCTTTTCCTCCCATTGTCCAAACATTCTAAGGATTACACTTGGATTGCTCTCATCTAACACTAATTGATTTTCAAGGATGACAAATGACACACAAAGCCCCAGTGCCAAGGTAATTTTGAGCAGGCGATGAAAATGTACAGTGGGGCTGTCCCAAGGTTCATAGTTCTTTTCATACTCATCTCTCACATGTGCATTGGAGGCCGGTTGACTCAAATTTATACTGATCTTTTATTTATACCCAGAAAAAATGGCAGATAAGAAACATAAGTGTTCCTGATATTGTGTTTTGTCATATCTAGCAGCCAAAGATTGAAATCCTGCGAAACAATTTTCTGAAGAAATGAAAGAGCGTGCCCTTGTGAACCCTGGAGGAAAATAACCCCGCGGTGCGAGGCAGAATATGGAACAGAGGCGCAGAATAAGTAAAATAGACAAGTGCACCAGGCTTGTCACTTTTCCATTTGCTGCCCCCGAGTGAGAGCACTTCAAAATTCTCCTCATCTCAGATAAGACCTTCATCGTTATGCTCTATCTACTGTACTGAATACGGAAAAAGTACCATATCAGACAAAGGTAATAAGGAAGGGAGTTTTAAAGATTTGCCATGTTTCTGTCAGTCGAGAAGTAAAATGCACCAAGAAGAATGACAAAGTCATAAATATACAGTGCAACCCATTGTGCTCAGAGGCAATGTTGAGATGGGTGTCACAGAAGTAGTTAACAATGTTCTTGATATTAGACATCACTGCTGGCTCTTGACAACTGCATCATTACGCAGTAATAAGAGCACAATCTCCTTCAGAGAAGCATTAAAATCAAATTAGATTATACAAGCGCCTGGCTTGATGAGCTGCGAGGGCTGATGCTTCCCGAGCAGTGGATCTCTGGTTATTGCTACAAAGCTCTTTAGGTGCCCGGGCCTGAATTGCCACACGTCAGAGCTTTGCACGAAAAGGTCATCAGATATTATATGTTTTATTTTCAACCGAGTCAGTGGAAAGCCACACTCCCAGACGGATTGCTTTCTGTTTTCTCCCCTGCATCTGTCAAATCATTGCATGCTGTTGAATACATGATGCTATCCATAAAATACCGTGTAGTGGTTTAAAGTCGAGTGACATTCAGGGATCAGAGAGCATTGACATTCGCTGTCCTATCTCGAACTCATTATACCACTGAGCGATGGCATCTGTTTGAGCACTGATACGCCTCAACAGTTATTACCACAAACACTCCACAATGTTGAACATGTATTCTCCACAAAAAAAAAGAAAAACTCAAAGTGAGGCAACAGGCAACCAGAGCTTTAACTCCACCTAATTGGAATGGAGTTAGTACAGTTTTTGGTTGCTCGTGGTTTTAGTTGGATTCAACATAAATGCCGTTGGATATATTGATTATCATATTCTTGGATGCAACATTCCCCGGTAATCAATACGATAAAGCACGGTTAGCTTCTAGTTCTGTCAGATTCTGAATAATAATTCAGTTCGGCACAATAAAACCACAAAAATGATCTTCACACGCTCAACATATATTCGAGGAAGCACACAACCAGGAAGAGTGTAGAGATGAGATGGGAGGCGGAAAAAAAATAGCAAACCGCTTCCACCACCTCATGTGGAAATCATACAAAGCATCCTGCAGGCAGCAGGTTCATTTTATAGCTTCATCTATTACCACACTGTCATTGTTAATTGTCTTCTTTTTACCTCTGCAGGATTCTCCAAATTGGTCCTATCGAATGTGACAGGAGGAAGAGCATTAAGCATCTGACAAGATGATATCTAAGTTCAATTTCCTACTCCTCACCTGATTTATACCTGCAGCAGATCATTTTCCTTTCTGTCATAAAGACCTCTATAAATCAGTGGTGCTTATGGAAGCACTACAGAACAAGGACCCAGGATTTGTATCCCCTGTGTTTGCTATTAGGAAGCCATTACAGCCACATTTTCCTCCTTCAAACAAAAATGATCAAATCTAATATGGGCGAGATTAGAGAGATAAAGAGAGGAATGGGGTGGACGCGTTGTTCGGCATGGCGCCCTATCTAAACAATATGCTCTAAACTCAATGAAAACAGGGCTTTTTGCTTGTGACACCATTATCCATCTGTTTGGACAAAATTGCTGTATCATGGTATAAATCTGCGATACAAGTGACATATCCTCTAAAATAAAAGGGAACATTAACTGCTCTATCTTCTAGAGGCCATGGGACTAGCTGGCTATAAGCTCAGTCAAGTGTGATGGCAGTTATACTGTGTTTTACTAGACTGCAGACAATTATACTTTGCTCCTCTCCCATAAGAAGACAAACTGCCATGGCTTCAACTGAAATGATTTCAAATAGATTTTCCAAAATGTCTGTCGCCAGATTGCTTCCATACATTATTTCACTTAAATGGAGAGAAAAAAAGAGGGAGCAAATCCACAAATCAATCACAACAGCCCACTTTACCAGATGGAAAGACAAGAGCTTGCAGTGTGTGTGTGTGTGTGTGTGTGTGGCTGGTTGGTAAGCCTGCAGAGATGGACGGTTATAGGATGTGCACAGTCCTGGATCTTTTATGTTCCTCACTCATACTGAAGGATGACACAGTGTATCTATTTTCAGTGGCAAACTGACAGTCCCGTGAAGGTAGAATAATGTGTAATGAACGGTGGACCTGGAGACTTTTGTCAAGTTCAACAACTAGTTAATTAAAGTGCCAATACTCTGTAATCCAGGAAAAAGGAAAGTGTAAAACATATACTTCTGATATGACCGATAGCATTCTCGATTCTGACAGTAATGACTGTCTAACTTGACTTGAATGTCATTGTTGAATATGTTGCTTTTTCATCTTATTTCTTTCGCATTAAGGTGAAAGTGTTTAGAGTGTGTTTCTGTGTAAGTGGCATAGTAATGCAATGCGAGAGTAAGGTAAATACTGAGTTTCAGAGGAAAAAACTGAATGTTTTGGTTGGCCAACTTTCCTCACAGGCAAAGCTCAAAGTTATGTGTTCACCACCACAACAAACAACTGAAACGTAAGTGAATTTTAATTCTTTTAATATATTTACTTCAGGGGTCATGAGCCCCTTTCTGTCTCCAGATGTAAAAGCTAAATCTACAGCACTGTGCAGTGTGGATGCGATCAGGACCTGCGGTCAGTGCTTCGGTTCAGGGCAAAGGCGCACGAGAGTGAGCACAGACCTCACAAATAGTTGCCATGTTGTTCATGAGGTTTTTGTAGCTCTTGGCCCTGTAAGAGGTAATTCATGTTACAAAAGCCAGCTCACATGTCTGAAAAACAGGCTGCAACTTTACCTACTGGGTTCCTTCATTTTTAGCTGGTACTGCTTTTTTATTTACACACTCACAACACTCATGCATTTTATTAGACTGTGAAAAGTTTTCCATTATTGATGATGTCACATCATAGGAAGTGGATACTGAGAGCACACCTACAAGTAAACTGTCAAGACTAATTGTGAGGTTAGAAAGTCAAATTATCTGCAAACGATTTTATTTTATTTGATCTCTTCCTCCAGCATTATTGGAGCTGTGGGCCCCAGAACCTGCAGCTGTAACGTAGCAGTAAAGGCCTTTGTACCAAAAACCTGCAAAAGCTGACTTTAAAAGGGTATATTCACACTCACTTATTTTTGTTGATCATTTTTCTTCAGAATGAGAGTCATCAAACTGTTATCCTATTTTTTGTTGTAATCTCAATACATGAACTGTGTGATGACAGCATTTAAAAAGAGAATTTTAAAGTGTAATATATTATTCGCATATAGTTTTAAATATGCATGCCCAATGTTAATCTGATGATAGCATGATGAAAAAAAATTCCCTGGAACAAAAGAAAATTGCGGGCATTTGAGCTAAACATTTCACTGGCTGATACATTTATTTTGTATAAACCCAGCATCCCTTAAAGCTTGAGTCGTAGAGAGGAATATATTTAGCCTGCCAATTAATAGCAGTTTATCAGTTTCAGAA